TCTGCCTGGGGAACAGCACTCGATCATGTTACCACCAAGAAACTGTCAAGGGGACAAAATTCTGGAAGAAAATTTCAGGTATAATAACTACAAAAGAACTATGATGAGTTTTAAGGAGAGACTAGAGAACACTGTGGAAAGATGCGCACACATTAATGGGAACAGACCTCGACAGAATTGGGGCTTTGGAGAGCTGCTTAGCACCGCCAAGCAAGACCTAGGCCTAGAGGAGCAGTCTCCTAGTTCCTCAAACAGTTTGGAAAATTCTTTGGTCAAAGACTATATCCACTACAATGGAGACTTTCATTCCAAAAGCATTAATGGATGTGTGCCTAGCCCTTCAGACGCTAAAAGCATTAGTAGTGAAGATGACCTAAGGAATCCAGACTCCCCATCTTCAAATGAGTTGATACATTATAGGCCAAGGATGTTCAACGTTGGCGACTTGGTCTGGGGCCAAATCAAAGGACTGACTTCCTGGCCTGGAAAATTAGTAAGAGAAGACGACGTCCACAATTCGTGTCAACAAAGCCCCGAGGATGGGAAGGTATACTAGCCTTTATCCATTGGGAAATACTAACCTTTGTGCAGATATCAGTTAGTGTTTTATGTTATCACCACTTTACATTCTTTGGATTTGTAATTAGAATTCTTCATGGCTCATTGAAGTCTCACAAACTTCTGAGCATAGAATTAAGAGAAAGAGAGAATGGTTGTAGTCCCCAAAATGCCACAGGGTGAGTTGTGAAGCATTTTAGATTATGAGTGAGGGTGACCCTAAACCATGAACCAGTTTCCAGAATTTTGTCAATTTTCCCTTTCTCCTCCCAAACTGAGAAGGAAGGAAAATGACAAACAACTGCGGAAAATTCTGGGAGCTCCTGGAGGTCCAAGACCATGGCAGAGTGAGCCTCCCCACAGCCTACCAGGTGATGAGAAGGGTAGCCCTTGCTGCCAAGGGGCAACTCCTCCATTTGTTTCCATTTGATCTGTGGAGCTGGTGGCGTGAAACCTGGGGCCACTCACAGCTGTTTCTGGCAACATCAGGTATGCCTGAGTTCAGAATGGTGGTTCCTTTCAGGAAAGGGTCTGGGCCCTTAAAACATGTGGAAGTGTTTAACCTCATAGTCTGGTTCTACTTAACACAATTTGATTGTATAAATTAAACTCCTCCATGAAACTACCATTCTACTCAGAAGAAATTAGCAGGACTCTTCTGGGCTTTCCCTCCCTACACACATGGTAGACTTGGCTCACTAGACAAGAAATATGTAGGGTATTTTAAAATATATTGAAAAAATCTCTATCTGATCAGAAAGAAATAATTATGCATGTTACCTGTATATGATAACAAACAATTTATTTGTCCTTAATATTAAAAATTATTTATACAAGCATGCATACACATACATGCATATGTATGTATGTGTATGTGTGTGTGTGTGTATATATATTCTCTTAAAGAGCATATTGTATAAAACCATTTTAACCCTTCTCAAAATTCTACAAGCACTTAGATTTAATGGCAGGAAACCAAAAGCATTTTTGCTAGTACAATAAAGGGATTGTCTTTCTCCAAATGAGTAGGAGGTCCTTAAACCCATTGCTTATAATGGCTAATATATACTTGTCGGAATACGCTCTGGGCATAATGTTTCTATGTTTGATAAGAAAATTAATTCCATACTCTTATTCACGAAACATTTTATTGTCTATACTCTCTGAGACCAGACAAGCTTCCTTTAGGTTGATAAGCCCAAATATTACTGACAGCTTATAAAAAAAATAATTAGAAACAGCAAAAATGGACTTTTATGGTATAAACAGAACTGCTACAAATACAAGATGTGTATATTGAAAAAAAAAAAGATATGGGAAAAACAAGGTACTAACCTAAGGAAGGCTTTTTATAACTATAAGGTTGTCTATGAGTTGTTGTTGTTAAGTGCCATTGAGTCGAGCATGATTCATAGCGACTCTCTGAACACAAGACCTCAAGCCTTCCTATAACTATCATTGTTTCTCCAAGTTCATAGAGTTTCCATAGGCATATTTAGGAAGTGAATGCCACCATGCCACTCCTACTTCCGAGTGTGTCTTAAACTGGGAGATCCACCAAACACTGTCCACCTTGGGCAACTGTTATGGCATTTGACACCCCAATGGCACAAGGTTCAGCATCACAGCAAGTCCAGATTACCTCAATACAGCAGACTGACTTAAGAGTGATGTACAGCTTTGAAGAATGTTCCTCCAAAAGATAACAACATTAGTCTCACTTAGCAATGGCTAAGTGCCATCAAGTTGAATACGACTCATAAAGCGACCCTATGAACAGAAGGCCTGAACCCTGCTCTATAACTAACGTCATTTTTCTATGTTCATAGAGTTTCCAGAGGCATATGGTTTAGGAAGTGGATGCCACTTCTGCTTAGGAAATTTCCCCCCTCCCCCAGCAAGAGGTGTGAGATAAGGTTGGAATTATTATTATGTCAATGAAAATGAGTCCTTGTATTAAGAGATTCATTGTTTTAAAAGGGAGCTCTGTTAGCTCTGGAGGGAGCCACAGTATAATAGCAAAGAAAACAAGAGACTCATTATCAGCCTGGAAGCCCTTATCATCTGAGCCTAGGACAATTTTGAAGAAGATCTTCTTATGAAATTTAGTTTCTTTAACGGCTGAGGTTTCCCTCTGCATGCTGCTGCAATCTACAACTTGGAAAGGTGGACACTGATCATTACAGGAGAGAAAGACCCTTAACAAGATGAATTGGGACAGTGACTGTAACAATGGGCTCGAGTATACTGGAAATGGTGAAGATGGCACAAAATTGGGCCAGGTTCAGAGCCGTCGTTCATAGGGTCAGTACGAGTTACAGTCTACTGAGCGGCACATAACGACAACACACATCCCCACTCCCTTAACCTAGCCTACAAATATCTCCTCAGAACCTTTCCTTACTGAGAGAAATTTGGGAAGCACATGGCCTCTAAGAGAACAAACAGCTTCGCCCTGGAGAGGGTGAAATCAGGCTGCTCCTTGGAGGCAAGGATTCTGAGGCTCTGTTGGGCATACTTTCTGCATGTTGCAAAGGAGGGAACAGTCCTTGGAGAAGGACATTATGCTTGGGAGGGTGGAGAGACAGCACAAGAGAGGAAGACCCTCGATGAGCTGGATTGATTCAGTGACTGGGGTAATGGAGTAGGTGTGTCAGAGACAACAAGGTTGGCACAGGATAGAGCAGGTTTCAGAGCTGTTGTACATAGGGTTGATACGAGTCACAGACGACTTGATGGCACATGACAATAACATGCCCTCTATCACCGATATGCTAACATATGTAATAAAGCTTTTGCTTTTTCCACTCCAACCCCTGTCCCCAGATTGTTCTTCTGACAGAACCGCATTTCTCTGTTAACAGTATTGTTAACTCAAAAGGCATCACCTCTAGTGGTTCAAATCCACCAGCTCCTCCATGAGATAAAGATGGACAACTTCTCATGTGATTTACAGCATTAAAAAATCCACTGGAGGATCAGTTATAGGTTGCTCCTGACTTTCCAGCAATGAGTTTGAGGGTTTTTTTACAGCTCTTGCCTCTGGAAACTATACGAACTTTGATAAATGCCGATAGTTGTAGAGGGGCTTCAGGCCTTTTGTTCATAGGGTTGCTATGAGTTGTGCTCTACTCGAAGGCAATCAACAACAACAACAAAGGAGACTAATGCTTTTAAAACTCTAAGGTCTTGGGCAGATGTTGAAGAAACTTCCTGAAAAGGAAAGATGGTATGTTTTTTAATTCTCAGAGAAAGGCAGAATGCAGGTAAATGGCAGTGCATTTCAGCTAATCATATGTACTGTTTCAAGTTCTGAAGCAGAATCTAGCCTGTATTCGGAGAGTTCATGTTCCCGCTTTACAGTTAAAGCAACTGAGGCCTCATAAAGAAGAGATTACCTAAAAAAATCAGACTCCCCTCTGATTACAGAACAGAGAAAGCCAGTTGGAAACTGAAAATTACAGAAAATATTCAGGAGGAAATATCACTTCCTCCAGGTTGTTGGAGGCTCCCGGGAAGTCTGTGGACCCTCAAAGTTATGTACAAAATTACATTCTATACTAGAAAGAATTGTGGGTATAGGGACTTGACTTCTCGTGTGAATCTGAAAGTGTGCTGATTAGCCTACTCCCACTCTTTACTTATGTGGAGACTGAAGAAAAGGACATGAAATGGCCAGTCCCAGATCTGTAAAGTTGTGGACGTCTCAGGAATCAAACCCAGTTCATAGAGTTATTGTCCACCTAGTATCATGTGCTGGGAAGACCAGCTTGGAAAAATCAATACATCTAGGAGAAGTGGCAAGAAATGAAACTTTGTTGTTTTGCGATTAAAAAATAAAAAATCTCTAGTGTTTACCATCCCTCCTCCCAACCTATCTTCATGGCCCTAAATATACAAACCAGCCACTGGGTGAGTCACCCCGGCAGGGATGCAGCTGATCAAACAAATCAAGGATCAATAACCATTTATAGAGAATGAGTATAGGGCTAACCCAGGTACTGGACATTTTGTCTGCTCTAGTTCATGTGATCTTCTCATGATGCAAGTATTATTAGTTTCATTTTTACTAGAAAGAATAGCTAGGTTTTAGGGAGGTAAAGCAGTTTGATCAAGGTCATGCCGCCAGTGAGTGACAGAGTGGGTTTTCCCGATTCCCTGGGCGCTCATCCTCCTGCGATAACCCTCAGCTGTGCAAGGCTCTCAGCTCTCAGCTCTCCCAGATCCAGGGTTCCAGGAACATGACCCTCTGCAGCAGCCTGGGGGTCATAGTACTGGGGGCTGGGTAAGAGGTTGAGCAAACAGCAGTAGAGAGGGCAGTTATTCTAGTCAGCCACTCCCTCCGGACCTCCTCCTCTTCTCCCTCCCTTTCTCAGCATCAGAGCAGAGACCTGAGGGAGCTCAGAGCACAGCCCCCTAGGCCCGTCGCTGGAGGCCCTGCCATGGCATCTCCCAGACCTCTTCTGATGTTGGCTCTGCTGGCATGGGCAGTTCTGGCTGACCAAGGTACGGGAGGATGTTAGTAGCTTTCTGGACCAAGGATGGGTGGGCAAGGGTGATTCCCGCTTGGCCTTGCCAACAGACAAGCCTCTCCCACAGAGTCGTGCAAGGGTCGCTGCACTGAGGGCTTCAATGCTGATCGGAAGTGTCAGTGCGATGAGCTCTGCTCTTACTACCAGAGTTGCTGTATGGACTATGTGGCCGAGTGCAGGCCCCAAGGTGCGTCCAGAGCCAGGGTGGGAGGCCTGGAGCCCCATGGCTGGAGCTCACACCACACTCTCCCACAACAGTGACTCGAGGGGATGTTTTCACCATGCCCGAGGACGAATATGGAATCCTCGACTATCCTGAGGAGACCAGAGAGAACACTAGCACCCATATACAGCCAGAGGACCCCACCCAGGGCCCTTCCCTGAACAGAAACGAGGAGCTGAATCCTGTTCGGACCCCTGAGGAAAAAGACCCCAAGCCTGAGAGGGTAACCCTAGGGCCTGAGGTGATAACTCAAGGGGTGGATACAAGTGACTCAAGGTTCACACAGACTCCAGCAGAGGACTTGTGTGGTGGTGCCCCTTTTGATGCCTTCACCGACCTCAAGAATGGTTCCCTCTTTGCCTTCCGAGGTGATTATGGGGGCAAATATTGAGGGTGGGGAGCTGCCCCAGGAGTGTCCCCTCTCTCACAGAGCTTCCTCAACTCCAGGGTTGTACTGCTATGAGCTGGATCACACGGCAGTGAAGCCTGGGTACCCCAAGCTCATCCGAGATGTCTGGGGCATCGAGGGTCCCATTGATGCTGCCTTCACTCGCATCAACTGTCAGGGGAAGACCTATCTCTTCAAGGTGCCAAACCCAGGGGTCCAGGGTCAATGTGGAAGGCTTCTGAAAAGGACTGTGCCCAGGACCAGGGAGGGCAGGAAGGCCAGCTGGGCTCAGGTCCTGTGGGTATCTGGGTGGGGTTTTGGAAGGACAGCTCAGTTTGAGGCTCCTGGTCCTGAACAGCAAGTCTGGAGATGGGAATAGCTTCCCTGAGGTGGGGGCTCTGTCCTGGGCCTGGCCAGCTGCCTTTTCATCCCTCTCCACCTTCTCTACCCTATGTAGGGCAGTCAGTACTGGCGCTTTGAGGATGGTGTCCTGGACCCCGATTATCCTCGCAACATCTCTGACGGCTTCAGTGGCATCCCAGACAACTTGGACGCAGCTGTGGCCCTCCCTGCCCATAGCTACAATGGCCGGGAGCGGGTCTACTTCTTCAAGGGTACTCGGGAGTGGGTGGGCATGATCAGGCAGTGGAGCAGTCTTAGTTTCCCTCCCCAGGTTCAGGTCACAGGTCATGCCCAGCTCCACGCTAGATGGTCCAGCCCAGCTCCTGATGCCAGCTGCTCTGTCCTGCAGGGAAGCAATACTGGCAGTATGAGTTCCACAACCAGCCCACCCGGGAGGAATGTGAATACAGCTCCATGTCCACTGTGTTTGAACACTTTGCCTTAATGCAGCGAAGCAGCTGGGAGAACATCTTTGAATTTCTCTTCTGGGGCGGACTGTCTGGTATGGAGGCAGGGCAAGCTTTGTAGTTCCTAAAGAAGATGGGGATCCCCTGGGTGGGAAAGGGCTGAGCTGAAGCGGGGCATGGTCTCAGAGCTATCGATCAGCTGATCAGCTGTTTGTTCAGTCTAGACTTTGCTTCTGTTGACCTTTGGGGGTGGTGGTGTGTGTGGCTTGGCTCAACCTGAACCCCATGCCATGACCTTTGCCTAGCACAGTTGCAAGGGCCTGTGGCTGAGGCGACTAGGCCGGCTGAGGGTGAGGGTGGGAGGGAGGGAAGAGGAAAGAGCACTGGACCTGGACTCCGAGGCCTGGGGGTGGGCTGTGTAGCAGCTGCACACATGATGGTCTTTAAGGGCCCTGCTGGGAGGGGCTGGGCTGGGCCTCCTGGGCCGCTACGAATCCCTTTCCCGCCGCAGGTGGTGCCAGTGAGCCCATGCTCATCAGCCAGGGCTGGCCCGGTGTCCCCGGGCAGGTGGACGCCGCCATGGCTGGCCATATCTACATCTCTGGCTCCGCCCCTGCCTCCTCCTGGACCCCAAAGCGCAAGACCGCACGTCGCAACCGCAAACGCTACCGGTCTCGGTCTCGCAATGGTCGTGGCCGGAGCCAGAAGTCACGCCGGACATCCCGCGCCCTCCTCCTGTCCTTGTTCTCCAGTGAGGAGAGCGGGCTGGGGACCTACAATGACTACGACCTGGACTGGCTGGTGCCTGCCTCCTGTGAGCCCATCCAGAGCGTCTACTTCTTCTCAGGAGGTGGGAGCCCCTGCCACCCCTGCAGCTGCTCGAGCCCCGGGAAAGCCAGGCCCCGGGTGTGCTCCACAGTGGACCTTTAGTCACCACTGCAGGAGAGATGGGGAACTTCTCTCTCAGACGTGGGGTGGGCAGCCCCAGGCCTTACACACCCTCCCGTGTGTCCTCTCTTCCAGCCAAATACTACCGGGTTAACCTCCGCACGCGGCAAGTGGACACTGTGAGCCCGCCTTACCCCCGCTCCATCGCCCAGTACTGGCTGGGCTGCCCAGTTCGCGGCCGCCGGTAGGGGCCTTGGGCCACGCAGCCAGCCCGAACACCCCTTCCCCCCCCAAGCTCAGCTCCCTCTGCCCACCTCATTAAAGGTCGTTTGGTCTGGACTTTAAGACTGTTGTCCTGACTGGGGTGGACAGGTTTGAAGGGAGGGAAGCTGGGTAGGGGCAAAGAAGGTGCTGTGTGTCCAGCGCATCTTGGCTCAGGCCAGCTCATGAGCCCGAAAAGGTGGGCTGGGGAGACCCCTGAGAGCCAGCCCTCTTCCTGTGCTATGCAGCCCCCACCAACTCCACCAGGAGAGCATAACTTCAACCCCTCTGATGACCACCAGGGGTTCAAGATTCCCTGTGCCAGCTCTTTCATTCTTTGAGGTCTCTATCTTGTATGCTGGGCAAGAGACAGTGAGGTTAGAGGGGAAACTCATTGCCATGGAGCCAGAACTGACTCATAGCTAACTCTCTGTTGGGTTTTCAGAGGCTGTAAATCTCAAGGGAGGAGCCTGACCCTCTTACTCCCCTGAAGCAGCTGGATTCAAACTGCAGGTCTTTGGGTTAGGAAAGCAACTCTTTACCCACTAGGCCACCAGAGCTCCCTTAGAGGGTAAGAGGGCATAAAATGAAATCCAGATGTCCCTGTTCTTTTAGAAAGATGGCCCAGGGGAGTCCAAGAAGAGAATGGTGTACAATACCTTTGCCAGAAACTCTAAAGGCACCTGTGGAAAGACTCCAGCTGATCCTTTTTTTAAAAAAAATTTACTATTTTGTGTGTGTGTACTGCCAAATCGGATCCAACTGGTACAGGAGATTGCCCCTCCTTTTCCAGCAGAGCATCTGGTGAATTTGAACTATGTGCCTCTGGGATTGCTGTGCAGCTTCTTTGCCACTAGGCCACCAGAGCTCCTTTCCAGCTGATCTTTTAAGGGGCCAGGGAGAAAGGGTTGGATGCAAAGTGTGATCTCATGGTGGCATCTGTCCCCAGCCCTCCTGGGGCTGGGTGACTCAGGCTTTCTGCTTTTCCCCCATCACTTCCCATCCCAGCCAGCCACATTACCTCAATCTTTTTGTCATAGGCTAAGACAGCTCACCCAAGAAGGCGGCCAGAACCGAGGAACTCAAGGGGATGTGGGGGAGCGGGAGAGACTGCTTTTGTTTTGCAGGAATCTTGGGAAGATTTTCATGAAGTAATTTTGGGTAAAGAGATTTTCAGAACTTGAAGCTGTAAGAGGAAGGATGGTATCGCCTTCTTTTGTGAAGCCCAGAGGGATGGAGGCTGAAAAGCTTTTATCCTTCTCACACCCCCATACTGACCTGCCCTCTTGTACTGTAAGACCCTCTCTCCAGAGGCAGTCCTGGCCCATCCAGAGCAGGCTAAAACCTAAACAGGTGCAGCCAAAGTATGGCCTGATGGCTCTCCTCCATTGACCAATAAAAGGATGCCACCACAGGTAATTGATCTGACAAGAGACGGGACAGCCAGGGTGAGGACGAGGGGAAAGATGTGTTGGGGATGTTGGAGAGGGGTGGGGAGGAGGTGCTTCAGGGTCTGTGAAGGGCTCAGAGTTAGAAATGGGGAGGTGGGAGCAGAAAGCCCCATGCAAGTGACTTTGTGGCCTGACTGCCAGTGGCCTTAGGTCTTGCCTGAGGCCTAGGTCCCCACTGGAGGAAGTGCACCACTTTTGGCAGAGGGCAGCTGCTGGAGCTGGAGTGGGTGTTTACAGCACTGCCCTATCTTGACATCAGATCAGAACCTGGCCCTGGTCACCTGCCTCTCTGGGACCAAGATCCAGGGGAACTGTGACCTCCTCAAACAAGGGGCATCCCTGCACAGTTGGTTTCTGGGCATCAACCATGGTCACTTCTTTCTGGCCATCTCAGCCTTCAGGTTCTACTTTCTCTGTTCCTTGGGGGGGAGGGGGAGGGGAGGGAAATAGAACCCAAGGAATCAGAACAGACTCCTTTTTCTTCCTTAGCAGGTATGGTTCCAGAATCGTTGGGCCAAGAGAATGAAGAAGATGCTACAAGGGCTAAACAGAAGGCCTGAATCCTGTCCAGAGCTTGTGCTCTCTCCAACACCCTCCAGCAGCCCAGGGAGCATCACATACTGGGCCAGCCTTGGCCCTCCAACAGTACACAGCAGTGTGTCCATGTTCCTGCCCAGCTCCTCCTGGCTTGAATCCTAGGCAGGGCTGGGATGGAGCTAACATTGCAGTCCCTTGGGGAATGGCTGGGCCTTCAGGGGCTCACCTTTCTTTAGAACCACCTACTCCCTAGACCTCATTAAGCACTCTGTCTGATCTCATCTGTTATCATTAACCTGAACCACTCCTATCTAGGCTCAGTATTTACAAAACCCTCTAGAGGCACCTTCAACACTCTGGGCCTGTCCTTCCCAGTACAGAGCACAGAAATGTATACTTCAACCCTCCTTTTGTAAGTGGAGAATACCTGACAGACTTTGGGAGTGTATAGTATAGGTGCAGCAGTAATGGGTTTTGGTATTATGGTCATCGGTAATACTAAACTCCAAATATACCCCCAACTCTGTATCTTAATCTGGATTTTTATGTGGAAAAAGAAAAGGGGACCTATCATTTGCTTTTGAAATTATCTCCAGCCTGTAATTCCTAAACAGGGCCAGCCCCCACTGTTCTTGGCTGGAAAGCTATTACCCAGCCTTCTATTGGATTTAGAGGGAAAATGAATTGGTGGATTTAGGGCCCTGGCCAAAACATCTGCTCCCAGGGGCCTCCACTGCAGATACTTGGGAAGTCTTCTAAAACTCCATGAGCCTGAAAAATGAGAATGACACATCTCCTCTCCATTTGGGGAACAAGCTAAGAGAATGTAAAATGTCTCAGAGTTATATGGTACATTGCTAATGTAAATCCTGTTTCCATCCCATTCGCCAGGCCATGAGAAACCAAGCAAGCCCCAAACTTGTTCCTGAACCTCTGCCAAGCACTCCCCGCTCCCCCCACCCCCCGAGAAACCCTCCACCTAGGGTGCAGTTGAGAAAGCAGGACACTGAGAGAAGACAGAGCTCCCTTTTTGGTGATGGAAGACAGGCCATTCAATCTCCTTTCTTTTTAAAGAATTTTAGTACACGTGCTGAGATGGAAGGGTGGAACATTTATTTGTTTCCAAGCCCTGACTTTCCTCCGATGGAATTCCAGCTTTTCGCCCTCTAGCATGGAGTCATCGGCTCAAGCCCATCGGCTTAGCCACACTGACCTGGAAGGGAAGCCCTGCAGGAACTGCTCCTGCAGATTTTTGCATTCTTTTTCATCCTCTTCTGAATTTTCCTCAATCACTTTTTTGTTTAAACTCTCTTCCTTGTGAGGAGTCAGTCTGGCCCCCTTCTTGCAACCATGAGGCAGTGCCCAGTGGGGCCTGTACCACTGCCAGTACTGTGTGCTGTCAATGTACACACAACAGTTCCTCACTGGGGTCACAGTCTGGACTTTCACTGTTGTACACTGTAAACAACATCAGTAAGCTGTTTTTGTTTGGTTTTTTTTTGCAGAGCCCCAGGAGTTCTCTGTTTAGGTGTCTATTGTCCCAGAGATGATGACTGCTCACCACTGGCTGGAAAAAGCACAATTCTCATTTCTGACTTGACTTTTGCAGACAAAAAACATATACTACAGTGAATGGTTTCTTCCACCACACTAAGACTGGATCTTTTAGTTCTCTACTCCTAGAAGCTTGCTGGATGCTTAGCATGTAGAGATCTCATCAAGTGTTCACTGCCACTGATGGCCAGAGGCTTGCAGGTCACAAGTAATCTTACCTTCAACAGTATCAAAGAGGGTTGCAATCAGGTGAGTATACACCCATCCTAATAAAAGATGCAGAAGGAAGGCAGAAATAAAAGGGAAGGCAGAAGCTGGAGGAGGTAGTAGGAGGGGTCGATGGGGGACAACCACACTGTGAGATGATGCCTTGGGCTCCAAAGTGATTTGAGGTCTGTTCTACATCTAAGACTTGAAAGTCTTACAAGGGAAAGCCAGGCCACTGGGGAAAGCTGAGGGATAAATGAGCCACATGGCCCACACAAACCTTAATGTTTAACTCAATGTTTCACGTTATTAGAAACACTGCAAAGTTGACTATCTCCCTTTAACCCTATAGGTTAGGTTGCTTGCTTCCAACACTTTTATTCTTTTTTTCTCCTTTCTCTTACACTTCTTCAGGCTAGAAGAGTCTGTCCAAGAATGCTGCTTCTCACAGCTGATATTTCTTCAAACTATAGAAACTCTAGGATTTCTCAATAAAGTGATCTATGGTAGAATAGAAGGGCAGAGATCTTTAATGCCTCTTACATTTACCTGAGAAGCTCAAAATTACAAAATAGCAGGAAAAACCATCAAGCATTTTAGAGGAAATGTCTAGTGAGCCAATGAGTTTTAATTTAATAAGAAAAGTGCTTTGGGTAAAAAAAACAACAAAATTCACCAAACCTACCACAGGAACTTATACAGCAAACAGGCTTCAGCAGAGCTCCTAGACTAAGGCAGACTAGGAAGAAAGGCCTGGTGATCTACATCTGAAAACTAGCAATGAAAACCTTGTATTACCTGATATAATGCTGGAAGATGAGCTTCCTTGGTTGGGACACAGTCAAAATACAAAGTTGCTACACCAATGGACTCAAGTACATGAAAACCATGGAGATCGCACCAGAATGGGCAAAGTTTCAATTAGGTCACCAGGAGGTAAAGCTGACTCGATGGCTACTTACAACTGCCATTATTAGGAGTGGACTCTGAACAACTTTCAGAATTATGTAGTCTTTGTGTTACTTCTTATAAGCATCTGATAGAGAAAAAAAAGCTGGCTACAATATTTATTGGGTACATTACTAAAGTTGATAGTCTTTTAGATGCCTTATACAGATTCTCTTCACACCAACACAAACTCTTAGAAATGTAACCTTAACAAAGCTTCATGAAAACGAAAGAATTCCTGGTTCCATTTATCAAGGACCACAAATAAACTGTCTGTTCTCTCAGCTTTGTCTTCTGTAAAAGGGGCCCGAATCATTTTCTTTTCCAGCCTTTATTATTACTGTGAAGATTAAAGGCAACCATGTAAAACAGTCAACTGTAAACATGTCATTTTTTGTATTCTCCAAAACGTTTGAGAACCCACCTTCAGTATTCATAAGCCTGCATTAGGTTTAGGAAAACAATTATACAGATTCATATTCACAAACACATACAAATAATTAAATCTGAAAACAGTGCGTATTTATAAAGAATTGCCCTCTTCGGGGAGCTCTGGTGGCCTAGTGGCAAGGAGCTGCAACTACAATCCCAGAGACTCACGGTTCGAATCCACCAGATGCTCTGCCGGGGAAGGAGGGGCAATCTCCTCCTGTACCAGTCAGATCTGATTTGATGATACACACACACAAAAATAATAATAATTAAAAAAAAAAGAATTGCCCTCTTCATTAAAATAATCCTGAGTATATAGAATTTTCTCAAACACAAATAAAGGAATACTGCAATTAAAAGGAGATGTAAAATTTTATCATTTGAATTATTTTCCATTTTGGAGGCAGAGCAAAAGGTAATGGGAAGGAGGGTTGGTTGAGTTGTAGGGATTTGCAGAAGGCTGTAGAAAATCACAAAAAGGCAAGCTGAAGGAAGAGAAGATCAAAACTGTAATTCTGAAAAATTAGCTAGGTGTATCTTTTCCAGTTTCACCGTCCCATACCAGCCCTTCCTTCTCTTGTTCATGTCCTTAATCTGTTCCTCTTTCAGCATGTCCTAGAGAGAGGGGATCTTTAATTCTCTAAGTTCCATGTCTGCATCATGAATACATGCACAATGGATGGCAACTGACTCGTGTGCTTGGGCAGGTTCAAGGCAGTATGGTCTGCTTCTGGGAAAGCCTGAATTCCATTCACTCCCAATGGGGAAAACCAGTCCAAAAAGCTCATAAGGGACTGGAAAAGGCAGGTGGAGCACCATTTAGGAGACAGTACTGACAGGTCAGTCTTTGAGTTTAAAGATGGGTTGTCCAAGTTACCTCCATTTTTCCCTCTGCAAATTCAAGGATGACAGGGCTTTGCACAGGAATAGCAGGTGACCTGGCTCCCTGACTTACTGGAATGCAGAACCAAGAGCCTGATGGGCTGGCTCAGAGTCAGCGACAGGCAGCTGGGGAGCCCAGAGCCCCTCAAATCTTGTCCAGACTTTGAAGATGAAGCACCAGTTATAGCTCTCCCAACTCGCCTTCCATCGCCCGTACCATGACATACAGCTCAGCCAGACCCACGACAGAGGCGACGATCAACGCAGCCAGCACCCGCTGGGGAAGGGGAGGACCAAGCTTAGGGGCACACAGGCTACTTCTCAGCACTGCAGCCCCCAGCACCTTTATCACGGATGAAGAACACCCAACCCAGTCTATTAATGCTTAGTAGGGGCGGGGGGTGTCTGTGTGTCTGGTTTCTCTTGGGGTAATCACCTACCCTCATGACCACTGGTAAGCTCAAATACTACCCTCTTTATTGCGTATTTATTCAATTTCTGATCCACGCAAGGCACCCCCAACTTTCCCATTAACAATATGTTCTGAATTACATTGCCCCTGCCCAGTGCCTACTCACCGAGGCCATTTCTGTGAAGATATACTGGCTTCCAAGGTAAGTGCACACAAAGGCAGCTACCACCGTGACAATGAAGTTGAAGATGGTGATGACCAGAGCCTTCATTGACCTCACTTTGAGGAGAAGCCCAGAGAGGAGATATTTAGGTCAACAGTCCCCAGAATGCCCTCTTAGCTCATGGTCATCTCTTTAACCTTGGAGACTGGTTCAGATTATGCATCCCCATCAACAAATGAATGGGTAGAAAAACTATGGTACATTTACAAAATGGAATACTATGCAGCAGTGGAAAAAAAATGAACTCATAAAACATTACATAATATGGGTGACCCTGGAGAACATTATAATGAGTGAACTATCTCAGTCACAAAAGGACAAATACTGTATACTACCACTGCTACAAAACAGAACTGATGTGAGGGGCTGGGGGTAGAACAGAAAGCGTGAATACATAATGAACACTGCATTGAAATAGATGAGGAAAAGAACTATTTAAAAGGAACATATGACTAGGCATTATATATGTATGACAATAATCCGGAATAAGAGGTACACTGAAAAGTGGACTGAGAAGGAAAATGTGCAACAATGAGTATTTTTTTAAAAAAAGATTATGTGTCAAATACACTAGGCCATGACTCTCAGTGGTGCTGCATATAGTACAGAACCATCAGTTTTGTGAGCTGATGTGGAACACCCCACCAGCTAAAAGGGGTGTTTCCTTAGGGGTGTGGCCTACAGCCAAAATATAAGAATGGTCTGGCAAAAGGCCACATGTGCACACTTCTGCCTTGCCTTGTTATCCTCTGACCTTCTTACTGGGAGATGAGCCAACAGTTTGTTGTTCGACCTAAAGATTATGGTTCTGTCAGTCTCAGCTACTAGAGTTGTTTCCTTAAAGTAGTTCCCTCTGTATTCATATGAATGTGTGTGTTTTTGCTCTAGACATCCCAACTTAAGGCAAACAGCTAAAGTTTAAGCCCAGAGCACTGGAGAGAGAAGGGACGCCAGGATTCACCGAAGGAGACGTTTTAGTAGCCTGATTCTCTGGTACCTCACCTTGCTTTCCCAGGTCACTGAGAGACCCACCATGCCTTGAATCCTGAAAAAGAGGAAAAGTCAATGATTTCACAATCATAGCTCATAAAGCCATCTGTCACTGTAGCTCAGTCCTCTCTATTCCCCTATACATTCACTGTGATGTTTCTGTGAAGTCCTTTTTCCCTCAAACCAGTTTTTCTCTTTTCTGGTCCACAGATCTACTTCAGTAAAGGGCACAGATACAAAGCATGGCAGAGAACAGTAAAGAGGGCTGTCAGAAGAAAGGCTTTTCTCCACATTTAGAACTATTAAGAATCAGTCACCATTTGAGCTCAGAGTTCCAGGTAATGAGTTAGGAATATACCGCTTGGTGAACAAGTAGCACGGAGCGCTTATGATCTCTGAACAGTATAAATGTCCTGTTCCATGTTTTTTCCTTTGTCACCTTTTCGTGGTGTAGGGTTGCTCTTACCTGGCAGGTGACATTACGGGTGATTCTGTTATATTCCTCATTGGCCAGCTGTATCTTAATCTTCTCCAATCGGGCAACTAACTCTGGGTTCTGAGGCAGAAATGTCAAAGGAAAAGAGTTAAGCTTGTGAGAAAATAATTTGTTCCAAGAAGCAAAGTTATTAGTTCAAAGAGTAATAGGGTTAAGGGTAGCGGGAGATTCACTAGTAACTCTTACCTTCCCTTTCTGGTTCCCAAGGGTTTAAAAGGCAATGTTCAGAGCTTAAAAGTTGATTTGTAAATTCATGAATCACTTAAGCTACAATTGGCCAGTACCCAGTCTCAGGAACATACCCTTTACTTACCCTTGGAGGCTTAACCACCTCTGGGAGATAGATTTCACTGCCTTCCAGGAGCTCATGAAGATACAGCTTAGAGTCTAGGAATAAAAGGTTTTCATAACACAGTAAGCCATAAAGCTGAGGTAAAAGGATTCAGATCAGAAAAATAAATCATGTCGAGAAAGGCAGAGGGTCAGTGAGAGAAGAAGACATTCAGCAAGATGGAGGTGGAGACCAAGATGACTATGCAGGACAGAGGATTGTTCATGGTGTTGTTATTATCTACTCATCAGCTGGATCATAACAACATAGTCTAGTTCTCTCTTTTTACCAAAACCAAATGTGACCCCTTATTACTTCAATCCTTCTACAGCATCATTCTCACTTGAAATACCCTGCCAATGTCATAACTAGCATGTAAGCCACCTACATGTTTCTTGAATAAAGTTACTTACGGGATCATAAATATCTTCTCTCAATAGTTTAGGTCATAGTGATACTTGGACATTAGACTAGTTTAAAGGACTTTGGTAGTATAGTGCTTTAGGGGTTGTACTGCAAACCCAAAGATCTGTGGTTTGAACCCACCAGCTGCTCCAAGGGACAAAGTTGGGCAGTCTTCACCTGCAAAGATATACAGCTTTGGAAACCCCATCAATGGTCTCTGTGAGATGGAATCTACCTGATACAGCAGTGAAGGTTTCTTTTTGGCTTTATACTACCGAGGGTGCTCTGGTGGCCTAACAGGTAAGGAGCTGTACCACAACTAAAAGGCAGGTAGTTCGAATCTATCAGATACTCCGGGGGAGAAAGATGGGCAATCTCCAATTTACAGCTTCTGAAATTCAGCTGGAAGGTCTGCTAACAGTCAGTTCCAACTCTATAGCATTGAGTGGGAGATTGTCAGTATCAGTAATTCAGTTTACCCTTTGTTTTCAGCTAGGCAAAGTTAACTTTGGCAAAAGATTTTAAGTACCAATTTGTTGTATTTCCTCCCTTTACAGATAAGGAAACTGAGGCCCAGAGAGGGAAATTACTATTTCAAGGGACGTTAGTGAAACAGTTAGGACTAGAATTCAGATGCTATTCCCAGTACAACTCTTTCTGCATGGCTTTATCCTATTTAAACGAAATAAAACAGTAACAGCAGATTGAGACTTGACACTCTTGTTTTTGAGATGGAAAAAAAAAAATAAATCCACATTCCCAAGCAGGGTAGGCTCACTATGCTATACTGTTGTCATAGGTAACGTTCCAGTGGGTTTTCAGAGGCTGTAAATTGCACAGGAGACTGTCCCTCTATGGCCAGCAGAGAAGCTGGTGGATCGGAACTGCGTGCCTTTTGGTTGGCAGTGCAATTTCTTATCACTAGACCACAATCACTACACTACAGTGTTCCTAACACAGTGTGAAAGGAAGACCCTGGGCTTCCTCAAGCGTCAAGTGGCCCTAAAGGGTGTCTGTTAATGGAGACTCTGAAGGACAAAAACTGCACAAATTTTGTAACCTTCTAAGAATTCCCAGGCAAGTTGTGAAGGGTGGCCCTAAAGTTTATAAGGTGACGCTATAGGAGAGATGATTGCTATAGTGGCGAAAGGAACTGATGCAAAGCGATCTCGCCAGGGAGATGACTTTGGCGGTACGAAGGCGACCCCGGACTGAAGGCTGGGGCTCACCCCTTTCTCTCAAGTGCTGGTGCAGCTCCCGGATCAGGCCGAAGGAAAGCAAGCGTCGGGGGCCACCGGGGCTATCACCGCTCCCGTGCTTCTCCCCCAGCGCGGCCTCAAGTTCGGCCCGCAGCTTCCGGGGCAGCTTCTCAGGCTCCAGCTCTCCTCCGGGGCCTAAAGCGCGAACCAAGCGCTCACCAGGAACCAAGGAAGAGGCCATAGCTGTGATACTCTGCGGACGGCTGACCGTGAGGCGGGACTTCCGTCCGCGGGGCGCCGGAAGAACCACAGAGCTCGCGGGACTGGGCGTGGCTGGGTCGAGGGCCGGGGGTGGGGCTCGGCGCGAGGCAGTGTGGGGCGGGGGCGGAACGCCGCCCGGCGGCGGGTCGGGACCTGTGTCATCAAGCCGAGCGGGCGCTCGGGCGGGACATGGCGGGCTGTGTTGCCCGGCGGGCCCTGGCCGTAGGCAGCCGCTGGTGGTCCCGATCGCTGACCGGGGCTCGGGGACCCAGGCCGCTTTGTGCGGCCGCTGGAGCTGGGGTCTTCTCGCCAGCGGCAACCACGATGACACGGAGGCACCTCTCGTCCCGGTGAGGGACTGAGCAAAGGGACCTGGCCCGGAGCCCAGGGAGCAGTGTTCCTGGCCCGCCGGGAGGCCGGGAGGCCGTGAGGCCGGGCCTGTTACCAGGCTGGCCGAGGGTGATTGGAGTTCGAGCCGGGCGAGGGTTTCGAGCTGGCGCTCACCTGCTTCGCCCAGCACCTTTGCTTAGAGCGGAGAACGGAGCGTGGCCGAGTCCTGGACTGTGCAGGATTGGATTGTGTGATGATGGGAAAACAAGTAACTTTCCCAGTGAGAATTCTACCTTCTAAGTTGGGAGGGTATCCCCGAGCATTGCTGGCAGTGGCCAGCCTTTTAATTCAGTCCCAGGGCTTTTGACACAAATCCTCAGCCCATAAAATGCTCGAGATGGAAAGCAGTATCTTAGATCTGGGCTCTGCGTGACTTTCAGCTTTCGTGTGAGACATCGAGGAGATGGGTTCTCACTCTGTGTGATTTGGAGGAAATGTGAACATTTGGGTCCTTGAGGATGGTATAAACTGGTCAGATTACTACCAGAGGATCATGAGGGAGGAAGGTTAAAGTTCCATCTCCAAAATAGTAAGAATCCTACTCTGAGGATCTGGAGAAGAGCTGCCCTCTCCAGAGAGGTCACTGAAAGCTGAAAGTTTAGTGACGGAGATTAAAATCATTGGCAAAGGATGGTAACTCTCTAATTTAAAAACTTATGTGAAAATGGATATAAATCTAAGAAACATTGCTTTGAGTGGCTACAGGAGTTTATAGCAGGAAATCGAGACATGATTGAATCTTCCAGAGCAGGGTGACGACTGCAATTTAGGGGGCAAGAAGGACATGGGATAATGACACAACAAAGATTTATCAAGCACCTCTAATATGCTAAACTGAGGAGAGCACTGGCAAATCAGGCAGAGGCATTGCCCTCCAGGAATTTAGAACTGTCTCTAATGGAGATACAGCATAGACACAACTGAAATACAAGGTACGAGGGGCGGGAGAGTAGGGCAGAGAGTGAATTTAAGAGTGATGGAGGAATGCAACGCAGAGCTCCAGGAGGCCCATAAAGAAGCTTTGTGGTGTGATTTGGCAGGATGCTTTCTGCTTCAACAGGCCTCTCTGCCCTGGCCCTTTCCTGCTCTTATTACTTTAGTCTTTCAGTGTTCTGTATCTTTCCATGAAGCTGTTCCTATTTCAACTACTCAGTTGCTTACTCTTTCCCTTCCTGATCAGAAACCGACCAGAAGGCAAAGTTTTGGAGACAGTTGGTGTGTTTGAGGTGCCAAAACAGAATGGAAAATATGAGACAGGACAGGTGAGTGCTGGCTTTCGTGTCCATGGTGTACTCTGTGTCCAGTAGGGGTTGCGTTTGGTCACAGGCCTATATGTTAAAGTTTTCTGTCTTGTCTTTGCTTCTAGATCAGAAACACTGATTTTTCCAAATGGGTTTTTGTTTCCTTGGATGGGTTCTCTTTCCCAGTTAGTATGTCCTGAGATGGTTTGGGCAATGGTGAGAGGAGAAGCCAGTTGACCCAAAGTCCTCTTGCATGGTAGATCATCATAAGCCAGTGGTGGGAGCTTTCAGAAAGGCAAACCTTTGCCTGTTATCACTGAGCTGCCTGTAGTGTGGTAAACTCTGAGTCTGAGGCTCTCTTTATGCTTCAGCTTTGTGTAGGTTAGCTGAGTGAGTTGCAGGAACTCATTATAATGGAGCTGGCACAGTTCACTGAGGTTGCATCAGAAAGCCAGGATGGCCCCTGTCTTCGTGGGGTTTGCAGTGCTGAGTGGAAGGGTGTTAGGTTAGGAAAGGTTTCCTACAGATATTGATATCTAACAGTAGAAGCCAGCTAGGTGAAGCATGTGTAAGAATGTTCTAGGCAAAGAGTGAAGACTGGAAATCTTGATTGATCACAGAGTTTGAGATACGGTTAAGAATTTGAACTAGAGTTGTCTCCAACCATGCTGCCTTGCCCTCCTGACTGTGGATAAACTTGACTCAGCAGATTCACCGAGCCTTCCCTTTCCTTCCAGCTTTTCCTTCATAGTGTATTTGGCTACCGAGGTGTCGTCCTGTTTCCCTGGCAGGCCAGACTGTATGACCGGGATGTGGCTTCAGCAGCTCCAGAAAAGTAAGTTTCTCTTTCTCTGTTCTTTGTACATCCCTCAGGAGGAGGCCCGAGTCAGGGCCTGAAGGGATGACAAGCGTGCGTAATTGGGGCCCCAGTGGTGCAGAGGTAAAGATGACAGCATCCTCCTGGGCTTTGGGACCAGCCTCAGAGTACTTTTCTGGCACTCCACTACCCAGGGAGATAAAAGTGCTGACTGCCAGGAACAGTCTTAAGACAAAGGGTCTCTTCAGGCCTCCTTTGGATGCTCTGTATGCTACTCTCCGTTTTCTATATTATAAACACTCTAGGGAGCATGTGGTTGACCAGCCTTCTTGATGTCATCACAGAATATTTTCTTTACCTTCATATCATCACTATACATTGACAAGAGAGAGAACAAAAAAAAGGCTTGTTCTATTAAACTATAAGAAATTTAATTTTCTCGGCATGGCCTTGTTCTTCCAAGAGGGATCAAGAGTCAGACAAATGATGATTTTGCCCTGAGTCCTACAGACTCCATTGTTTGCCCCTGATGAGGGAGTGGTTGGGCCAGAGTGTTGCTGGGAAGGTCTGTAAACAGTGGTAAAGCACATCCAAGTAGACATCATTTTGCTTAGGTAAGAAGGTGCCAGAGAGTGGCTGCCTTTTCTCTCAGCGTGGATCTTGGGCTTTTCCCCTACAGAGCGGAGAACCCTGCTGGTCATGGCTCCAAGGAGGTTAAAGGCAAAACCCACACTTACTATCAGGTGCTGATAGATGCCCGAGACTGTCCACACATAGTAAGTAAACAAGATGACCAGGCCTGATTGTCTTTCCAGGGGAAAGATCTGAACCTTGGTAGAGTTGATGGAAGGAGAAAGGGTCAGACAGCCTAGAGCAGCCTTTGGTGCTTTCAAATGGCTTCAAAAAGTCTCTGACTGACTGCTTGTTTCAGTCTCAGAGATCTCAGACAGAAGCTGTGACCTTTCTGGCTAACCATGATGACAGCCGGGCCCTCTATGCTATCCCAGGTGAGTGAGGAGCATCTGACCGGGGTCTGTTGATGAAATGTCTAGTGAGTGTCTTAGAGGAAGGAAGCTGATGCATTTCTAATATCCTTTCATCTACTGGAAGGGGTCATAGATGCTGAGAAGAATCTTGCCAGGATTGTCTTATCTTAGGACGAGATGGGGAATATTGTTTCTTCTAAGCCTCATTTTTCTCCTCAACTGAGAATCTCACTGGTCTTTTAACATCTCTGTGCCAGGCCTGGACTATGTTAGTCATGAAGACATCCTGCCCTATACTTCCACCGATCAGGTTCCCATCCAACACGAGCTCTTTGAAAGGTTTCTTCTGTACGATCAGACAAAAGGTAAACAAAAGAGAAGTTGGAATGAGAGGGCCCATTCTTCAACGAGACTATCATAGAAATCGTTCTATTTCCACAGCCATATTTAAGCCTCCCATTCGACCTGTCAGGTAGCTGACTCCTGATGTAGAAACAAAAGTTAAGGGCTAATGCAAAATGACTTGGGTTTTCTCCTGAGTGCAGAGCAAGGTCTAAAAATCAGTGCTGCTCTTGTTCTACTTCCCTTTCCACAACCGTACTCCCTCTGCAGAGCTAATAGTTGGTGGTCAGCTCTGTGCCTTCTGGTCTGTGTTTTTTGCTTCATGTCTGGGTATCCTGTGGGCCTGGTCTCCCTCTGGGAAGGGTTTTCTAGGAGGGGCAGTTGGAGGGTGTGTCACATGAAGATCCTGAGTGCAACACCCTGGCCTCTCGCCTGGACTGACCAGTTTTCTTTTCCCAGCACCCCCTTTTGTGGCTCGGGAGACATTACGGGCCTGGCAGGAGAAGAATCATCCCTGGCTTGAGCTTTCTGATGTCCACCGGGAAACAACGGAGAATATCCGGGTCACCGTCATCCCCTTCTATATGGGCATGCGGGTACGTGCCCAGCCTGGCTTCTTCCCTCGTGGTTGGGTCCCCTGGTTCTGGGTGGGATCCGCAGTGTGGCTGCTGGGTGCATTCTAACTAAACCACATTTCTGTAGGTCTGTTCCCAAAAGCACTATGTGTGTTAGGAGGGAGTTGAGCAGCAGCTTCCAGGCTTGTCTCAAACCAAGACCCAGACAGGAAACCCACAGGCACTGATATCTTTCACTGCTCCCTGAAATGACTCCCCAAGCTGACTCTTCCTTTCTTTCATTCTGGCTCACAGGGAGCCAGGTTTATGAAGACTGTACGTAGACTTTTTAAAAAAATACTGTAATAGGTATTTATTTAAAGTAATACATATGGCAGCCCAAATAGTTCTTAAATTATAAATTTCATGTTTAACTGTCATAAAAATATTTTGAGGACAGCTGCATCCACAGATTTCAATTACATGATTATTTCCTCGCCCACTCTTTTTATTTTCAAAATCCTCTTAGATATAGTTCAAGGTAGAATTCATCCTCCTTGTATTTTGTCCACTGTTCTGTAGGCAAAATCTGTTGCCTCCTGCTCAGGTCCGGGGCTCTTTTTATGTGAAACATCCTGTCATTGTAAAGGTGCTCAGGAAGCCTTCATATGGCTTCTTTTACATCTTCATCCTCATGTATTGTACAGTCTTATAATAATCCAAGTTCACTGAATCCTGCATCATTGTAATAACATTTTTGAGTGCCATCCAGTCACTGCCCTGACACAGCAATGATAGACCAACCTACCACACATATGCTTTTTAAAATCAGTGTAGGCTAGTCTTCAAATTGTGCCAGACATTTACCTTTTCTTGCTTGGTTGTAAGCTATACCCTGTTGTTGGTGCCCTAGAGTTGGCTTAGGCCCCTAGTGTCCCAGCACACAGCAGAGGGAAGCTCTGCTGATCCTGTGCCGTCCTCACAGTCTCTGCTGTGCTTAGACCCACTGTCAGTCCATTTCATTGAGGGCCTTCCTTTAACTATCCTTCCACTTTATTAAGCATGATGTCCCTTTCCGGGGACTGGCCCTTTCTGATAACATGCACAAAGTATGTGAGACAAAGTCTCACTGTCCTTCCTTCTGGCTACAGTTTTTCCAAGATCTATTTAATTATTCTTTTGGCAATCCATAGTGTATTCTTCACCAGTACCACAATTCAAAGCCGTAATTCTCTAGTCTTCCTTATTCATTGCCCAACTTCCATGTGCAAATGAGGTGATTCAAAATCCTATGAGTTGGGTCAGGCATACCTTAGTCCTCAAATTGACAACTTTGCTCTTTAGCACTATAAAGAGGTCCTTTCTAGAACATTTGTTTGGTGAAATATGTTGTTTGATTTCTATGGATACTGATTATGGATTCAAGAAAATTGGAATCCATTTATCATCTTCATTTGTCATGATGTTTACTGGTTCAGTTGTGAAGATTTTTGTTTTCTATATTTGAGGTGTAATCCATACTCAAGACTAAAACTTTATCAATAAGTGCCTCAAAGCTTAGTTTTCTGTAAATAAGATTGTGTCATCTGGATATTGCAGGTTGTTCATACTTGTTTTAAATATAATCCAGTTTCTCAGGTTATTTGCTCAACCTGTCCATTGAATAGGTTTGGTGAAGGGATACAACCCTGATGTATACATCTCCTGAATTAACTCTGCAAGTATCCCTTTATTTTACTAAAATAACTTCTTTTTTCACCTTTGTACCTGTTCTGAAGCTCTGCCTGATGTACTTTGGGCATGCTGTAAGGAGGGACCAGTCCTTGGAGAGGGACATCATACTTGGGAGGGTGGAGGGGCAGTGCAAGAGGGAAAGGTCCTCAATGAGATGGATTGACTCAGTGGCTGGGGCAATGAAGGTAGGTGTGTCAGAGATGGTAAGGTTGGCTCAGGATAGAGCAGGGTTCAGAGCAATTATACATAGTGTAGCTATGAGTAGCAGGTGACTTGACAGCACATAACAACAACAAATGTTCTGTATGAACTCAATTAAGTATTTGGAAATTCTCATTCTTTGCTAAATTATCCATAATCTCTTATAATCTGCACAGTTGAATGCCTTTGCATTGTCATTTAAACACAGGTAAACATTTCTGGTATCTTCTATTTTCAGCCAAGATACATCTAGTATCAACAGTGATATCTCTTATTCCACATCATCTTAATCGAACTTGAGTTTCTGGAAGTTCTCTGTCAATGTACTGCTCCATCTATTTTTTAATTTGAAGATCTTACTTGTATGCCGTATTATTATTCGATTGATGTCTACAGTTTGTTGGACCACCTTTCTTTGGTTGACCAGGTAGATATCTTCTACATTTTTTGACATAAATGAGAGAATACTTCTAGTGCTGCATCCATTTGCTGAAATATGAGTTGGTATTCTGTGAATTCCTGGACTTTGTTTTTGCCAGTTCTTGTGCAGCCTGGACTTCTTCCTTTGGTACCTGGACTTCTTCCTTTGGTACCATTGGTCCTTTGCCATCATCTACCTCCTGAAATGATTTAGTGTCATCTAATTCTTTTTGGTATAATGACTGTGTATTTCTTCTATCTTCTTTTTCCTGGGTCATTCAATATTTTGCCCATGGAATCCTTCAGTATTGCAATGCAAGACTTGAATTTTCTCTTTAGGCATTTCAGCTAGAGAAATCAAGCATTTCTTACTTTTTGGTTTCCTGTTCACAGCTTCAGTTTGCTCAGCTCCACGGTCAACACTCTTGGCACCAGTAGCCAGGAAATCAAAAAACGTATTGCGATGGGAAAGTCTGCGGTTAGGGACCTCTCTAAAGTACTCAAGAGCAATGGTGTCTCTCTGGAGACTAAGGTGTGCCTGATACAGGCCATGGTTTTTGTAATCACTTGTTACGCATCAGAGAGTTGGACAATGACTAGGGAGGATAGAAGGAGAATTGACGCCTTTGAGCTGTGGTGCTGGAGAAGAGTACTGAATGTACCAGGGACTGCCAAGAAAACAAACAGATTTATCCTAGAGAGGGTTAAACCAGGCTGCTCCTTGGAGACAAGGATTCTGGGGCTTTGCCTGACATACTTTGGACATGTTGTAAGGAGAGACAGGTCTTTGGAGAGGGACATCATGCTGGGCAAAGTGGAGGGACAGCGCAGGAGGGGAAGACCCTCTATGAGGTGAATTGATTCAGTGACTGGGGTAATCGGGATGGGTGTGTCAGAGGCAATGAGATTGGCACAGGATAGAGCAGGGTTTAGGGCTGTTGTACATAGGGTCGCTATGAGTCGCAAACGACTCGACGGCGCATAACAACAACAAAATTTCATTATAATACTTTCCTTCTTGAGCTGTCCTTTGTTAATTTTCTGGTATGTTCTTTTCATCATTTCTTCCATTCACTTTAGCTTTTCTACCTTCTAGAACAAGTTGCAGGGTCTCTTCTGACATCCATTTTCATCTTCTCCTTTATATCTTTTAAATGACCTTTTGCCCTTCATCTTGTATGTTGTCTTTGATGTCATTTCACAACTCCTTTGGTCTTCAGTCATTAGTGTTCACTGCATCAAATCTATTCTCTAAATCCAGGTGGAACATACTCAAGGTTGCATTTTGGGTTTTCATGTACTTGTTTGAATTTTTTTCAGATTCAACATGAACTTGATGATTTATTCTGTAGACAGTCCCTGCCTTTGTTCTGATGACGTTGAGCTTTTCCACTGTCCTTTTCCACAGATGTAATGGACTTGTTTTCTGTGTATTCCATCTAGTGAGATTCATGCGTACATTTACCATTTATGTTTTTCAAAAAGGTGTTTATTATGAATAAGTTGTTGGTCATACAAAATTCTATTATGGAATCTCTGGCCTCATTTTTTTTACTAAGGCCATTATTTTCCAATCACCAATTCTTGAGAGCTTGTTTGGAGGTTCTAGCAGGGGAGCGCAGCTACTCGTATACCCTTGACCGAAGGACGGTCTTCCTTCTATCGGGGATGGTCGTCCTCTTCGACCGAGCGCGCAGCTTCGGGAGGGATGCACATGGATCGGTGAGGGAGGAAGGGGACACCCGCCTAGCCAGCCGAATCAACCCTGGTGATCAGTGGGGTGACAGATGCCGCAGCCAGATCGCCCTCACATCCCCAATCACCAATTCTTGTTTAACATTTTTGAATTCTGATCATCAGTTCCAGTAATGCACCTTGATTACATGTTTGATCAATTTCAGACTGTGTTAAGTTGGTAGGAATCCTGTTTCTTCATTTTTAGTTTAGTGTTTGGTGCATTCATTTGAATTTAGCAGTGCTTCTTCCTGTGTGTATGGATATTATTCTATGACTGACAGCATTGTACTTCCGGATTCTGAAATGTTCAGCGTGACACCATTACTCTTTGTCATTGCGTGCATAGAACACCATTTGATTTTCAGATTTGAAATGGCCAGCAGTAGTTCATGTCAGCTAATGCCTAAGAAGGGAGCTTTGGTGGCCTAGAGGCAAGAAGATGCACTGCAATTATGAAGGCATGTGGTTCAAGGCCTCCAGCTGCTTTGTGGGAGAAAGATGGGCAATCTCCTCCCATGTGATTAACTGCCTCTGAAAACCTGCTGGAGGATCAGCTATGGGTCAGTTGTGACCCTATGGTACAGAACAACGCCTAAGATAGCAATCTTTATACATTCCATTTCATTTTTTACTTACTTAGAATCATACTTTGTATACTTTGTATGCCCTAGGGATATAAATAGGAATAAGACATCATTCCTGTCATCTTGGAATTTGTGAACAGGAGAAGACTTAAAACATTGAAAGTATACTAATAAGGGAGACCTGTGTGGGGTGAAGAGGTGGCGGCTAGCAGCCTGGGTGGAGGGCTGGGAGTTGGGGGCCTGGCAGGATGATGAAAAGTTAAGTGCACTAAATTATCTTATGTTGCATCCAGTTAGTTCTCTTGGCAAACTTGACAGGATGAGGAAGGCCTGGTATGAGTTCATGGGAGGTTGCCACAAATACTGGCAGCTTTGCTCCGTCTCTGTACCCGTTCTTCCTTGACCAAATCTCCACTGGAGAAATGTTGACTGGAACAAACTAGGTTCTACTGGGACGTAAATGCTCTGTGTTTTCCCTTAGGAAGCCCAGAATTCCCACGTCTACTGGGTGAGTGTCTCCTTCAGGACAGAAAATGGGTGTTCGGGAGTTTGTGGTGGGGCAGGGGCAGGTTGGGGAGGTGTTGGGGCGGGGTGGAGATCTCCCTGGTGGTCGGCAGAGCCCAGCAATGCTGGTGTTAATCCTTTATATCCTCTTGCTCTCCACAAAATTCTGGGTGGGCTGGTCCAAGCTCTAGTTCTTCCTTACATGTGAACTCTTCCTATGCCTTAACAGTGGCGCTACTGTATCCGCTTGGAGAACCTCGACAGTGATGTGGTCCAGCTCCGAGAACGGCACTGGAGGATATTCAGTCTGTCTGGCACCTTGGAGACAGTGCGAGGCCGTGGGGTAGTGGGCAGGGTGAGCACCACTCGACCAGTAAGGTCCAGTTTCTGGTCCTACTGAGCAGGGATTTAGAGTCAGAAATGTAGGTGCAAATTCTGCCTGTTGCTAGCTTCATTATTTGGGGCATGTTGTTTAGCCAAAGACTTGTTTTCTGAGAATTAGTAAAGGATTGCAGAGTACTTATGGGCACTTAGGCCACTCGGCAGTATCACTTTCCTCGGAGTGTAAGAGTAGGTGCTGTAGCACTTTTGCCCAGTGTCACCTTTCCCAGATTCAAAGGCCTGTGGTCACTGGGCAGTGCTGTGGGAGGAAGTACCAGGAGTGCCCTAGGGTTGAGTTTAATTGGCAGTGGCCACGTGGCCTTCCGGGTTTGGGGACTGTGACCCTGGTACTTGACCCAACCTACTTTTCCGGAATTCTGGCAGGAACCAGTGTTATCGAAGGAGCAGCCTGCGTTCCAGTACAGCAGCCATGTCTCTCTGCAGGCATCCAGTGGGCACATGTGGTAAGTGAGCATGTGCTGAGCTGGGCAGCTCAGTGGCACAAACAGCTGCAGGTGAGAAAAGCTAGTATGGACCCCTTTTTTTCTCCCATGACTGCCTGTTTTCCATTTTTTAGTTGTGGACCAGTGGCATAGGCCAAGGGAAGCTAAAGGACTTGTCGGCAGTTTTCTACATAGTTGGATTCCCTCTATGGAGATTCATTCCTTAGTCTGGGCCAGACCAGGTTAGGTGTTTGTCTTCTTATAGGACTGTGAGGAGCTGTTAAACTTTAGGTTTTCTTGGTCCCTGGACCAGCGTTAGCCTGTTATGAGCCGGGCCTCCTCATCTGGCCTGTGGTTTAAGCTGAAGATATGTGGATTTCCAGGTTCCCTGTGAAGGATTCGACCTGACTGCTGGTAATCTCCTACTCATCTCTTACCTGCAGGGGCACATTCCGCTTCGAGAGACCTGATGGCTCCCACTTTGATGTGAGGATCCCACCCTTCTCCCTGGAAAGCAATAAAGATGAGAAGACACCACCCTCAGGCCTTCACTGGTAAACCAGCTGAAGCCAGGAGTGTCCAGGCTCAGTAAGCCCCTCTGAAGAGTGCTTATCCCACAGTCATTGCAGAACTCAGCTCTCCCCATCATGGGCCACCATGGGTCTCTTGATCATTTGCGCCATTTTTTTCTGGGGAGATACTGCTGTCTCCAGAAGATTCAAATAGGACTCCTCCATGGCTGGCCTCTCTGTAAGCCCCACCTACACTGTGTTCCAGTAAATATTTCTACTTGGAAGTTTTTGTTTGCTGCTGCAGGCCTAGAGGAACTTCTGGGCCTGTCACGTGTTATCTGAATGTGAGGTTTGGTCAATAAACAAGTGCACACCTGGCCACCCTTGCAATTGTTCCCAGGATTGCAGGCTCCCCTTCAGCCCGCTGCCTGACTCTCAGGGTTGCTGTGCATTACTCGGTGGGTTGGAGGCTGGGCTATTTTCCTTCTCTTTACCCTCTGCCAAGTACACAGGCACGGACCATCAGGATTTGGAGGATGGCCTGGTATTTAGCTCTGATCAATCATTGGCATCACTGCTGGCTTCCCCAGGCCTGCAGAAGTGAGGCTGGTTGGGTTTTCAGGAGCACCAAGCTTCTCAGCTGTGAGCACAAGTCTGCCAGACATCCAGCCACAGAGGGTTCAGCTGAGGTGCAGTCTTCAGTATAGATGGTCCACTAAGCTAAGCTACTGAGCAGCATTCTTTCCAATCTCCGAGATGTAGGCTGGGCTGCATCTCCCCATCCCCCAACTTACAAAGTTGTAACAAGAAAACAGGAATCTGTAGCACAGGATTGAGGGTATCCTGCTCCTCCACTAATGTGGCTATTTAACAGAGGTAATTTTATTCTTGAATTAGTATTAAACCTCAGGTCCAGCTCTTATTAGTATTGTCCTTAACTTTCCACCAGAGGGAGCCTGGGTTTCAGGGCAATCGAGTACAAATTGGTCTTCAGAGCTTAGCTAGAACACAAATTGAGGTGGTATATGAAAGTACAAGAAGGAAGTCTTTAGCAATGACCTGGCCACGTGTTGTACCACTGCAGTGTAACACAATTTTATTAGAAATTAGTGTTTGCTCCATGACCTAAGCTGAGCCACAAATTACTTCAGTTATTTAAGAAAGCAGAATCTCATGCCAGGATCTACACCATCGTCTGACAGACCCTGGTCAGAGACCAAATTCAACAAAACCCAAATGCTGGTGTTATCGACAGCAGCCTTCTGGTTTTCCCAGCAATGTCACCTTCATCTACATTTTCACTTAACTCTTCTAGTCTCTTAGAAGTTGGAGTTCACCAAACTGTTAAAGCCACAAAGTCTCATTTAGTAAACTAAGATCACATGAATGAATTCAATGTATTATTTCTAGGACCCAGGAGCTAAGTTTCAGTGAGAGAAAGTGAGTCCTCAGAGTTCCAAACCTCCCCAGAAATGGCAGAGGAGCTGAATGTCAAAGCAATACGCATAGACTAGAGGGCTGAGGAGGTCAAAGGCCAAGCCTTCATATACCTCAGCAGAGAGAGCTGGGAATTTGAACATTAGAGGACTTTAGGAGGTCAGCAGAGGAAAGAGGGCAGTGGCCTTAGGCAGAAACATTCCAGTCTCTGTGGGAAAGCCACAAAGCCTGAATTGGCTATGGAGATGGATTTGTCTTGTTATTCTAATAGGGGTGTCTACACATTCAAGACTGTTACTCTGATTAAAATGTCACATTTCCCTTGGCAAGTTACATCATTTCAAGTCTTTGTGTCTGTCTACTCTGGGCCTGGCATTTGCCCATAAGATCCAGGGAATCAAGTGTAAGCAACTTTAGTAAAAATAGTTAAGAGGGATGAGCATGATTACCTATGTTACTTCCCAGGAAGAAGTATATGCCCGAGTGTCTGGGCTACTTGAACAGCTCCCTGTCCGCAGGTATTCCTTTGGAACATGCTTCTCTTATGGTCCTCTGTCACACGCCTCCCAGTGGACACTATCAGTTCTTTTACTGCAAAAAGATTTGAAATGAATACAAATCCATGTGTCATAACTAATACTCAAGGAGCTCTGGTGGCCTAGTGGCAAGAAGTTTCACTAATCCCGAAGGGTTTACAATCCACCAGGTTTAAATCCACCAGATGCTCCTGTGCCATCTGGATCTGACTTGACGGTACACAACAACAAAAAACAAGTCACACTCAAGAGGACTGAGAAAATTTGGAAGACACAAAAGAAACAGCAGCATAAGCAGCTGAATCGCATGATGGTATCCACTGGAATTTGTAGGATGGACTTTGATGGAAAGGCCACACAAAGATCCAAGCATTTCCAAGAAGGCTGTGAAGGAAAGACTCCGAAAACAAATACACAGGAGAAAAAGATCACCTTAAGAACCAGTGCAGAAAGACGACGCATAGGTTACAGAACCACATTGTAGTGTTCATCAAAGTGCTTTCCTAGCCGCTGAGTTTGACTTGGCCACCTGGATAGGTGGGATCATGCAAATAGGGTGTGTTAATCTATCTGCAAGGGGATTGGCTAGCTTTGCTATTAAAGTGAGTGGATTCAGGAGCAGAAATTTGGGAATCTCACCACCAACAAAGCAGCAGCAGAGAATGCAATACACATCCTTGGAGATTTCTGTGGCAGCCAGACTAGGCCAACAGGCACATGAGGAGCATCTACAGCAGAGAACCAGAGACTCCATTTGAGACAGAACTGACCCTGAGACTGCTGCCCCATGAAACCAGTGAGGGACTGTCACCAAGTGTGCTGGAGGTCTGGGTGTGGTGGGAGATACAACAGTTAGCAGGACTAATAATAGAACTTTAACATTGGTCTGAAGCCACAAGTCTCCAGGGCAGACTTCAGAAACTGTTGTGACTGAAGACCCAAGTTATCGTCTGCCAATCTGAACTGTAAACCTGTTAACTTCCCTAATAAACCCTACAGTCATGAGTACAGTTGTGTGTCTGCATAGCTACTGCAACCTAGGACAGTAAGATTGCTGTTGAAATTAAGAGAAAGTGGTGCCAGAGCATGTCTGACCCTATGGGAATTAAGTTTTGTACTGTGGACGTTATTGTTGGGGGCAATTCCCCCTTGTGTAGTTAACAGAGGTCACATATGACTGTCCTCATGCTGCCCTTGCTTTTTGTAAGAACATTCTGAAAACACTTCAAGAAGCCATATTGAAATCTTATTGTAAAGAGAGATCTGAAATTAGTACCAATCCATGTGTCAAAACTAGTACTCACAAGACTTAATAAATAAGCAATGGAAGCAGCTTACTTAGGAATTCAGTCAGCAGTTGCAGACTTTTGTATCAGCAGTCAGATAAACATCTGAAACAAGCTGAGGAACAGGAGTGGATGTTTCCACAGCAGCAGATACATCTGAAAACTGCAGGAACAATTCATCAAGAACAAGAATGAATATAGCTGTTTTTACTGAAACACCAAGTGAACTGAGAGAAGAACTGGGTATGCTGCAAAAGAACATGGAAGTTCTACAAAAAGAGAAGGCAGTTCCTTGCAAGTCAGTTCAGACTCTTTCTGTGTAGTTGAGTCTTCAAAGTGTGTGGAGTTTATTATTCAAAAAAGCTTTCCTAGCCACTGACCTTGACTTTGCCATATGAATGAGGGGGAATATGCGAATAGGGCATGTTAACCTATCCATGAGGGGACTGGCTGGCTAGTCTCAATAATCCAGAGGAGGACTGGCTAGCTTCGTAACTAAATTGAGCAATCTATCAGAATTAAATCTTCCCTGCCAGTGAAGGTGATGACTGAAGAGAATGCAACCCATCTTTCAGGCACAGAAATTCTTGCTCCAGCTACACCTATGGCAGCAGCAGATATGGCTGAACCAGAGAACATGAATATACCTTGGGATTGCTACCCCTCAAGGACAGAACCAAAGCTAAGCCTTTGCCTAAGTGTACTGGGAACTGGGGGTTAAGGGGGTACAAAAACAAGACTGAGAACCTTGAAACACTGACCTAAAGCTGTCAGGCTCAAGGCTGAGGTGCCCATTTAATAAGCTGTCCCTGATTAAGTGACTTGACTGTAAAGCAGTAAGATTGGTGTTGAGATGAGTAGAAAGAGGTGCAGGAGAATTAGGGGAATTGGTTTTGTGGTATTGATTCTGTTGCCAGGAACAGCTCCCCTTTGTGAAGGTGGTAAAGGTATGATATGGCTGTCCCCATGTGGCCCTTGCTCTTTTTACAAAGTCAGAATGTGAATACAAAGAACATAATAGTGTTCTAACATTAGCAGTTAAATAGCATTACATTCCTTTGAACAGTCTAGTTTAAATGACTACATCTGTTCAACAGGACCTTATTTGTTAAGCCCAAGACACTCTGAGAACTACTCTAAAGTATAGCCTCAACAGGTATTTAAGTGAAAACAATTTCAAAGTTCGAAATGTGGAGTACCCAGCACTGTGGGGTAGTGATGTGGAATTTTTCTCCTTAGCACTATTAATTCACGTTTAGCAGTAAAGATGATATAACTTAATTTTAAGCCTTAGTAAATCTGTATCAGCCTCAAAATGAGGAAGGCACAAGTATGGAAGCGTACTACTATGCTCTTCCTTGTGAAACAAAGGATATACCATTTTAAAAACAAAAGCAACCAGTGACTATGTGGGCTGGGGAAGGTATGGCTCAAACTCATGCCCCTTTTATACAGGGCTGTGGGCTTGATGCTCTCAGCTAATGGGTGGCAGGAAGCCCAGCAGTGTGCCACTGTGCAGTGCCCACAGCTCTCCTGCTTCATATCCTGTTCCTCAACGAAGTGCTAGTTCCTATCACAGCTTTTCACCATTAATGAAGACCATGTGCCTTTGAACCAAGTGTATACTCAAGGACAAAGAGATCAAATAGGAGCAATCATGTTAGACTAGAGGAGCCATGTCTGTGGCTCTAAGAGGTGTGGTTAAAAACATCTTTTCCCCAGGGGGTGCTATTTGGACCACAGGCCCTAACATAAGCATCCTTCCTAGTGGCTTTTTGGCTGGCTGGTCAACCTGTAGAAGCCCAACTGCTAAGTTTTTATTGCTTCTTCTTTATCCCCTCCCTCAGACAAGTTCTGTATGTAAGAGGAGACTAGGGTCAGAACAAGGGATGCTTATCAGAGAAAATATAAATCTGAATAAAATGACAAAGTGCTTTACAGAGAGATCTCCAAGGCATCAAAAAAGAGCCACCCAAGGTACTGGTGCTCTGGAGGAGTGGAGAAAGGTGCAGTCCCTTCATTAGTAGACTTAAAACTATTCAATCCCTAGATTACTTTTAAAAACCCAAGCACCAAGATTGTGCTTCAACACCTTAAGATAAAAGGAGCCCCATCCTCTGTACAAAATCAGGCCTCCACAGCACCAGAAGCTGCCTCTCCCAGAGAATGAGCCTGTTCCCCTCAGGCCTACTTAAGGCCTCAGGGGTAGCCCTTCAGTCTGGGAAAGGCTGCTTAGCAAAGGGCCTAGAGAAGTATACTTAGCAAGAAGTACATCAGTCAGTCTCTTCACCCACCAGCAAAGGCTGCTCCCTTTCAAGTAGGCATCAGGATCAGTATTCTTGAAATGCTCAGGGAAGCAGGGCAAAGCAATGTGCTCTCCTCCTTGTCCAGACCCTCTAACCTTATAGGCAGGGACTAAGATGCCTCTGAATGCTGGAGCAAAGACCCAACCAGTGCCAGCATGGGGTGGCCAATAGTGTGGGATTCCATAAGAAGAGAAACAGGCCCTCTTGTGCCCTGACTTCCCAAGGATCTTGTCAGTCCCGGTGAGCAGACTGGTGGCCGAGTTGCCGGTCATCATAGGTGCTGTAGCGCTTGACATGGATGCGACGGACTCGATCTCGCAGTTCATTGTTTTCCTCATCTTCACTGGGGGACACCTGGCTGCGGCTGCGGCTTGTAGCCTCCAACAGGGAGTTGTCAGGGACGCGAGGGGTCTCGTAGAGTAGGACATTGAGTGTTTCCTCATAGATTCGGGCCTCTGGGAATTCAACCTAGGGAGAAGGGGACAAAAGGACTGAGTGAGTTTCATCTGTGAAAGGGTATATGAATTAAATGAACTCTCAAACCCTATGCCACCTCTACAGGTCTCCTAAGGTCTCAGTGGATGGGTGAATGGCTGGCTGTCTTCCGGGAGGGCAGGGCTCTCTCAAGGATCTAAGGAGAAGTACTTTATGCACATGAGGATATTAACACCTTTCTACTCTCAACCAAGGACCTATAGACTAGTGTGCACAGAGCCTGGGGATTTGTGGGCTTTGTGCTCTGGTGCCACCACTTCCTAGCTGTGGACTTCAGGCTTTACCATTCTGTGCTTCAGTTTTCACATATAATACTGATGGCTTACTATCTATCTCATAGAGTTGTGCAAACTTTACATAAAAGATATAGACTTCTTAGCAGAGAACCTAAAACATAATTTTACAAACTGGACAAATAACAAAAATACAGCTGCCTTTGGTAGCAATTTTGCTGCTTAAATGATCCAATGGGTCCAGTCCCCCATGACCAGTCTGGAGGAAAGAGCTAGCCACAAAGTGATCTGAAGTCTGGTCTAACTTCCTTATCACCTTTAGTTTCTGTTTTCTTATCTGCTAACTCATTGCCGCACACTTTTAAATTGACGACTGTGCTTGGAAACACATATTTTTTTCTTTGATGTATTACCCGTCATTTGCGGCAACATGTCAAGTGAGGAGAATGGTTCTAGTCTGGCCTATCTCATAAGTGTATGAGGGAGAAAAACAGTTCATGAATGAGAAAGCCTTCTGAAAGGGGATAAAGGTTGCTGCCACTTAAACAGTTCCTAGCCCGCCCAGAACCCTAGCTGCATTGACACCATGTGCACAGGAAATCACCTGTTCATCTAAGTTGTTCTTCCCTGGCCTGCAGCACATCACTGAGGTGAAGACACTTGAGTAGTATGAGGCTAAGAAAGGGCTACAAGAACTCGGCTACTCTAAGCCCTTCACATTCACAGAACTCTTCCCTAAGGAGTTGCTGTTCTACCCAACCACTCTACTGACTCCTTAACACACAAGGATGGAAGCTGTGGCTTTTTAGGGAAGGTAGCTCTGCTTGTAGCCAAAGAGTGAGGGGTTAACTAGAGGTCACAGAACTACCACCTATATACTAGGCACCGGTGCTATTGCAGGGCATGTCAACTGGACAGGAACATCTAACCAGTGGGCACTGGAGTAGAGAAATGAAGAGCATTCTAACTTTAAAGTCCAAGTTATTTCCACTACACTTCTGCCTCTCCAAAGAGTTATTTTATTTTCATACTCATTCTCATGTTTGCAAATATGAACACTGAGGCCCACATGGTTTAAGTGGCTTATCCAAAGTCAGAAAGTTGATACATGGTGGAGCCAGAATTCAAACCTGAATTGGGCCGATTCTGAAGACCTGGTCGTTCCTACACCAGACAGCTTCCTGCTGGTTAGAAGGCCCTGCTTCCAAGCTGACAGGTACACAATTCCTATTCCGTTCTCCAAACTCCTTGTTGTGCCTTTGGTTCTTACCTGTTATCATCACTGTTCATTTGAGTTAAAAAAAAAAAGATGGCAACATGCACAAACTTTTTATTTCTTTTGGTGAAAAGCTCAGTTGAGTTGTCCTCCCCCAGCTAGCTGGTGTGTGTCCCTGTCCACGCAGACAGAACCCCCATACCTTGGTCTGCTTCTTCTCCGTTGCATACACGATTGAGGTGCAGCACACCTCTGCCAGCTTCCGGCCCTGCCCATAAAAGGACCAGCAGCATATCTCGTCACCAATGACATCCTTGAGGAAGAGCACACGGCCATTGAAGCGCAGGGAGAGCTTGTCAAACAGCTCGATGTTTTTCAGCAGGTGGTCGTCAGAGTTGCTGAAAAATCCAGGAGGCCCACAGGCCTGGTAGTGAGGTTCTAGCACCAGGGAGGGTGCTAAGGCAAGAGAGGCCACCCCATCCTGAACTTCCCCACCTCTGCCCAAATGGTGAAAGGCCAGGATGCGAGGACACAGGATGAGAAAGGGTCACTCACTGGGCACCTTGAGAGTCTGGGAGCCTCTCAGGACACAGGATCTCAACTGTCCCAAGTTAAAGCAGAGAGAATGAAAGAAAGGTCTCCCTTTCATTAGGCCCTGTTGCTCTCAGTGACACTGGCTATTTGTCCACAGGAAGTCCTAGGGTGTAGAGGAAGTTTGGGATTCTGACCCTGCAGCCACACAGGTGTATCTGGCTGTGGTGTGTTGAGAGGACACTTGAGAGTCAGGAAAATCAGCCCAGCTGTGAAGCAGAAAGGCTGGCTTAGGAGGATTCCAAGCCAACTGGCTTTCCAACATCCCTCCCCACCTTCTGAGATAATGCTTGTGAAACATGTGGCAGACTGTCCAAAATAAGCTAAAGGAGGACTTCTTAAGGATTATCTATGGCCCTGCACCACCTTCCCCTCCAAGACCCAGAGCACATTACCATGGCAGGAGTGCAGGCTTCCTCCTTTCAGCTGCTCCTGGATTTCCACCCTGACTGCTCGGCCTTTCCACCTACTGCCATGCCACCTGGCGTAGGCATACTTGTTGCTTCTCCGTGTCCCTACTTCCGCCACCAACCCCAACCAGCAAAGAAACTCTCACCCTACCTGGTGTAGGAATATTTGTTGTTGCTTCTGTTGTACAGCAGCTTCACCACGGGCTGTGAGGAGGGACAGAATGAGAGCTGGCCCAGGGCTCTGGAGGCCCCTGCCCACAGTTCTGAAAAAGAAGTGTTAGTACCTTGGTGGAGGATTCGATGAGCCTCTCCTCCTCCTTCAAAGATGTGATGATGGGGATGTTGCACACAGGCTGGTAAGAGTCCTTCTTGTCCTGAGGGGCACAGGGGCAGAGAACACTTCTATGGGATGTTCTGTTTACCAGGTAGTTAGGTTCCCAAGGGATCATCAGGGCTCTCTGCTGTGGCCACTCTTGCTCAGTGAGGAGAATCTTGAGCCACCAACATCCAGATTTCATTTTCAGAAAACACCAAATCCAAGTATCAGAGCATATAAACTAGATCTAGTCTCCCTGCCTCAGAAAGAGAGTTGTATTTAAAAAGGCTTCTGACTGGATCCTGATGCCTGGAGGAAGGGCTCAACTCCTAACTTCACCAACCCAAGCCCATCTCTGCCCTGTACCTGCAAGGCACTCTGGCACATGTTCACCAGCCCCTGGATGAGGTAATATTTCGCTTCAGCCATCAGTTCTTTGATCTCTTGCCGGTTTTGAGGCAGGGTGATGGTGTCATCTCGGAGGTAATTCAAAATAGTGCCAAAGTGTTTTCCACAGCGGTCTATGAGGATCCAGCCTAGGGATTGAGACCGTAAGAATTACTGTTGGCTTCTAGGTGCTTAGAGACAGGCAGGAAGCAAAAGGCCACTGGTTAGACCTGGTCCAGGTGGTAAAAAGGAGCTACAGGAGCATAAGGCCACGGCACAGAGGTGATAGAAAGAGGAGAACATCCAGTTCTTCACCCTTCTACTCTGGAAGCAAGAAGTGACACCGACTGTTGGAGCCATCAGCGCTTCAGGCTCTGCTAAAGCTCCACAGGGGTCCAAGCTCAAGAGCACTCAGGCCTCACTGGCAACAAAGATACTAGGCTCTGCTTCCCTACAGCCTAGGCACTATGGTAAATACTCTTATGAGACTCCAGTTCTTTAAAAATATACTGTAAGCATGAATCTTCTTCCTGGGGCAAAACCATATAAACATGTAGCAATTGACGCATAATTTAAAAGAATTCAGCAGCTCTATAGAGAACTACCCAGGAGCCAAAGGGAGATCTAGTAGCTTTTCAGAGGAAGTGAAGTGCACAGAAGACTGCCAATCCTTCTCCCACACAGCAGCTGGAGGTCTCAAACCACGTGCCTTTGGGATTGTAGCACACTTTCTTGCCACTAGGCTATAAGAGATCAAAACCAAAAAGAACAAACCCATAGCATCCAATGCAGAATTTCAAAGGATTCAGAAGCTCCGCAGAGAACTTCCCAGGTGTCAGAGAGAGATCTGGTGACTTACTGGTTAAGGAGCTGTGCTGCCAACTCAAAGGTATGTGGTTCAAATCTACTAGATATTCTGCAGGAGAAGGATGGTCCATCTCCTTCCCTTCCAGTGACCAAATGCTTCTGGAAACCCACTGGAAGGTCAGCTGTGAGTCAATTCTAACTCAGTGGTAGATAACAGCAAAGAAATTTAGGTAAAAAAGTCCTACACCAGATGAGCTGAGATGCTCAGGTTTAAGTCTTGTCCTGAAGTCACTCACTCAGACCTTTTCTCACCACTTGCTCAGCAAACCTTAGTGCCTCACCTTCCTTGTCTGTCAGCACCTCCATGCGCCCACTGAACATGGCTTTGAGCATTGTGTCGTGCCGGGTTAGTGCGCGGACAGTGGTGTAGTAAAGGGAGCCTCCCACGTTGAGCTGGACGTACTTGTTGCCCAGGCCTCCGCCCTTGAAGCCACTGAGCTTGGGCTTAGCGCCTGAAGATGGGCACAAACAGGTATCCCCCGACATCTCCCGCTGCAGGTAGATTACCACACGGCAGGAGGTAGGCTTGGAAGGCTCCGCCGTGGTGGAAGGAGTCACAGACGAGTGGCCAGTGGAGGCCAGAGCCTCATACTCTCAGTGCTGTGGGCACGAAATGAGAGAAAAGATCAAGTCAGCAGAGTCCTCAAACCAAGAGAGGGGAACAGTAGAAAACTGACTAGCCAGGAGTCCCTTCCTGTTAAGTCCAAGCAGTCCCTGGGTAAGGTCAATTACCTAGGAAGTCATAAGACTTTCCTGTTCTTTATTGTCCTAGTGACCATGTCAGAGTCTCTCTGAGCCTGGCTCTGGTCACTCCATCAGGTTGGGCATGTCTCCATGAGACTCAACTGAACTCTGGGTGGCAGGAATGACATACAAGTCCCTGCAACTGGTCAGAGAGGGACTGGAACAGAGTCCTTATCCTGTGGAATCTCCCGGACTCCCAGCTATGTATGGTTTGACTGGGTATCCAGCCTGCCTAGGAGTTTCTCAGTGGCCAGAAGGACAGGATACATTTCCTTTCTACCAGATTTCAGAATAAGAAGTAGTCAGAACTAGTGCTTGATATAAGTGCCACCTGGAATGTGGTTCTAGGAAACTGAAAGTGAGTGCTGGATGGAAAGAAAGGAGTTAAGGAGGTAGGTGAGAGCCAGCACATTGCACTGGCTTCTTGGAGGAGAGGGGGTTCTGACTTCTTTAGTGACCCCAAGTTCCTGAAATTGAAGGCGTTTTTCAAGCACAATCAACTAGAGAATAGCTATTTTTTCTTTTTGACACAAGAGAGGACCCTACCCCCTCCTTTCCTGAGAAGATAAAAGCCAGAAAAGACCAGATTGAAATAAAGCTAAAACCAATTCAATCACTTGAAAAATCTAAGAGTGGTTAACAAGGAGGGAGGAGTAAGAAAAGGAGGGCAAAGCAGGGTCACCTCTCAAGATTTAGATATAACTATACCCTCGGTGAGATCGATAGGTTGATTCAGGAACTGGAGCAATGAGGATAGGTGTGTCTGAGACATAAGGTTGGCACAGGACAGAGCAAGATTCAGTGCTGTTGTACATAGGGTTGCTGAGTCACAAGCATCTTGACAGTACCTAACAACAACAAAGAATCCACAAAATACATTCACTCAAGAATAGCTAACATTCACTGCACATTTACAATATGCGAGCGATTATCCTAAGCATTTATTATCTATTAAAGCAATTCTGGGTGAATTTTGAGGAGGGCTTGGGTAGGGGGAAAATAAATGCAACAATGAATTTTTATTTTATTTTTTTAAAAAAGCAATTCTGACTCAGCAGAGACACGGGGCAGTGTAGGGCTTCCAAAGCTGCAATTGTTACAGAAGCAGAAAAGCACAACTCTCTTGTGTGGAAAAACTGGTAGGTTCCAAGTGCTGATCTCTGTGTTAGCTGCTAAGAGATCTACCCATCACACTACCAACGTCTCTTAATATGGATTAAAAATCCAAAACACCCTAACGCACTGCTGTGGGGTTGATTCTGACTCATGGGAATCTGCTATTGGATTTCTGAGTGTGTAAGTCTTTGTAGGAAAAGACTGCCCACCTTTCTCTCCTGGAGCAGGTGGTGAATTCAAACTGCTGACCCTTTTGGTTAACAGCCTAACCCCTAACATAGTATATACCACCAGAGCTCTTTAACATTATTAAAAAACCTCAAATCTCTGTTGTAGAGTTGGAACTGACTCACAATGGGTCCTCCTGTGGGTTTTAGAAAATTGTAAATCACATAGATTCCCCATCTTTCTTCTAAATAGCCTGAGAAGCATCACCTTTGGGTTAGTCACACATATCCTAATATATATTAGCTCATTTAATTTAGGGGGAAAAACCCACACTAAAACAACCCTATTATGTTATTATGCAGTAGGCATTGAAGAATGAAGCTATCGTGCCATTTCCTTCAAGGAGCTCAAAGAAGCATCATAAGGTTAGCAAGAACACAAAGACTGTTTTGTGCCCCCATTATATATGCCAGGATTGAGAATACAAAAGATAAAAAGTTATGTTCTCATGGCATTATACGTTTCCTTATGTGAGGAAACATACAAAGGAAATTGTAATGATTAATGCAAGAAGGATAAAAACCAACAAAGAAGGAATGATAAAAATGAAAACCACTAGTTTTGATAATGAGCTAGGGAATGATTCTTTGGGAAGGTGACATTTACGCTCAGTTCTAAAAGAGCATTCCAGATGGATGGAAGAGTAAATGCAAGAGTTCAGCAAGAAAGAAGTAAAAGCAGGTAAACAGGTACAAAAAGAAGGCTGATTTATAGAAAGAAGGGGCTCACTGGTTTGATGTAAGATAAGGAAATGCAGGACTCAGTAGATTTGACACAAATGGCAATGAGAACCCAGTGGGTAGTTTTAGGAGGGGAGTGGTATGATGTATTATATTTTTAAAAGATCATTCTGGCTGCAATGTAGAGAAAAGAATATTAGAATGCAAAGTAGGAAGACCAGAAGCAGCAATAGTGTAGGCAAGAGATGAGAACACCTACAGTACCGTAGTCAGAAAAGTGCAATCATCTCATTTAATCATCATGACCTGCAAAAGCTTACAGTTACTTATATGTCCTGGTTTTGGTTTGCTGCTCTGAGTTCTCTCCAAAAACTGTTTAGTGCGATGGCATGCTTATTTTTGCTTGTTAGATTTGAACTGTTCCAAGAAAGATTTAATTAGATCCCTGGGAAGAATGTGCAAAGAAGGGCCAGAGCAGGTGCTGTGTCAAGAACCAAATTCCTCTGTAGGCTGATATGGGAGACTCAATTTGCTTCAGGGATGGGAATGGAGGAGCTGGGTGAGCTCTCACCAGTTCAATCAGGAACTTTTAAAGAGATCCTCTTGCCTTCCCAGCCCACCTCAAAGGAATAAACCGATCCCTTCACATACTTTCGGTCAAGCCCCAATTTTCCCAGGCTCATGGGAAGTACACAAACAAGTTCTGCCAAAGGAGTCAAAGGCTAGGCTAGCCAACAAAGGAAGACAAAAGTCTTTGTCCAGAATTAATTTCCTACAAAAGTAATCGCTTTGGGGCCCAGAATTGACGTCAGCTCAGATTTAGCCTAAACCAACGGGTTCCAGGAATATCGTGGCAGGTAACGCCCAGAAAGTAATCCCAGAGAGAATGAAGTTTCCACGGGGAGCCCTGATGCTCCCTTCCTTCCGGACTTTGTGTGCAGATATTTGGGGACGCCCGGGGCTACAGGCGTATCCGGGTCTTTAGCGGAAAACCGAAAAGAAGTCATGCAGAATTAAGGAAACTCATGTAAAATAAAGGGTGAATCAGGCGGGAGAACAAGGGGTGCTGAGAAATAAACAGAAATCCAGCACGCGGGGGATGGTGGGAAAGCCGTTCTCGGCTGTCGCTAGCAGCTCTAGTAAACCTATTAAATGACTCTTAAGTGACTCTTAACCTTTACACAAAGGGTCCTGGGGAAATCTAGCGATACCCAAACTTTCAGAGCCAGCCACAGCCCTTACTCCTCACTACCGAAAAGCCGCGACAGGTCCGGACACCCCAGCCCCAGAGGAGGCTCTGAGCTCTCCATCTCGTCTCCACTGTCCCACCCCAATACCGAGTGGGGCCCTCTTCGCTCCAGCCGAGCTCTCACCGTCCCCGGGGGCGCCTCTCCCTTCCCACAGCTTGGTTTAGGGCCGACTCTTGCCGCCCCTGGACGGAAGCCGCCAGCCCTCCTGCAGTCCCCCAGAGTGAGCTCATATCCTCCTCCCGTCGACTCCACCCCGGCAGCAACACTACCCACTCGACGAGGGAGCTGAAACTACAAAGCCCGCCTCGCCCAATATCCTAGTGCCGGCGGAAGGCGGAGCCTTCTCGATTATTCCGCCGTAGAGTCACAACTACTTCCGGCAGTTTTGCCGGCTCATAGGCCTCTGGGTCTTGGAGGCGGTCACCCTGACTCTTCCGCCTCTGTTTCCCATCAGGCTCTGCTGGAGGGGAGACAATAAGTGCTTCCGGGGTTAGCCAGTGACGTCACTGGTAAACAGGCCTTGTAGCCGTGGCACTGGCGGAAAGAAGCAGGAAGTTTAAGTACCGCTGTCAAGAGGGCGAAACTGCCGCAGATCTCAACCTGGACCGCAGCGCGCCGCCGTTACCGGGCCTGCAGGTAGGTCCAGGGATGCAGCCTCCAGAGTCGGTGGCCTAGGGGCGGGATGTAACTGCCTGGCCCTGTCCCGAGGCGTTTCCAGGCCAGAAGTTTACGTGGAAATTCCACCTGGCACTTTGGAAGTTGCTTTTACACCCAGTTTAGATCTGGCACTTTATAGCCCATGCGCTCCGTGATATTTTGAGGGAATTGGCTAGAGGTAAATTAAAAGAGTTTTCGTAGTTAAGACAGAGCCAGTCCCTTCATCCGAGTCAGCCCTCCTCGCTTTTCCTGGGTTGGCTCCGGGAGGGCGGGGCGCGGGGAGGAGAGGAGTGTCCCCACTGTCCTGCTCTGTGCTCCCAGATGCTAAGACACGCATGTGTGGTAGGAGTTGGGAGAGGATCAGATTGTTGTCTGTGAACTCTCTCTACACTCCTCCTCTGGTCTTTGCCATCTCGTTAACTATTGTCTTCATCCATTCATTTGGCTCAAGAGAGATACCAGCTGGTGATCATGCTTGACTCTTACTCATATCCCAATCCCCACATTCATTTAGTCACTCCATTACCAAGCCCTGGGGATGCAAAGTACATCTCTGTTCAGAGGACTTTTCTTTACAGTTCCAGGCCTTTGTTCTTATAATAGGCTTCTATCAGTTTCTGCAGTTAGTCATTACACAAACGTTTATACTGAGTGCCAGTTATATGCAGGCCCCATGCTAGGTATGGGGGTACAGTGTTGAACATGGTGGTGTAGGCACCCTGACTATCTTGTTCTTTTTAGTCCATTCTTTTTTTCTGATCTAGAGTGATACCGTGACACCTTTGGAAGCCTGAATGTAATGAACTGGCTTGTTTATACTGGGTCTAGAAAGTCTTCTGCCTTTTATTTTACCTATGTTACTTTTTTATGTAGTTCATGCACGCGCGCGCGCGCGCGCACACACACACACACACATATGAATTTATATATATGAGTTTATATATGAATTTATATATATATATGAATTTATTTATTTATTTCTCTATTTATTTATTTATTTAAAGATGCCTTTTCAGGTTCTTTTGGAGTACATAACCAGAAATAGCATACTCATGGCTCATGACTTGGGTCAAACATTATTCCCTAATCTCTTCAGTTAACTCCTTTGCCCTTCCTCTGTTGTGTAATGATATTTCTACAAAAGCAATGAACTCAGTATGCTTTTTCCAGTTTACAGGTCTGTCTTCCTCCAGCTAAAACTTCTCCTTCTGGAGGATCGTTGGCATTCATCTTTGTACTCCCAGCATATAGCAGTGTTGGCATATTGTAGGCACTCAAGAAATGTATATTGAGTCAAGTTGTGACAAGCAACTGGACTTTATTCTTTCTTGACCCTTGCTCCTGTGACACACCTCTTTTGCCACTGTCACCCTTTCAAGAGTAGGACTTTTCATCTCTAGGGGAGCCAGAAGGAAACAAGGTGAAGCTAGAGAGGTTGAGAGACTTCTGAACATTTGTGATTTTTGCCTAGGATTTTGTTTAGGGGCAAAACAGTGCTGGACTGGGGGCAGGTACTTCCTTGAGTAGCTGCTAAGTGAATAGGGATTGGGGTTGTTTTCTTCACAGCTATGGCCAAGGACATCCTGGGTGAGGCAGGACTACACTTTGATGAGCTGAACAAGCTGCGGGTGCTGGACCCAGAGGTTACCCAGCAGACCATAGAGCTTAAAGAAGAATGCAAGGACTTTGTGGACAGTGAGTGTCACTTGTGTTGAGTTGTTCCAACCGTATCCCACTGCCACCTTTGCCTAGCTCTCAATTGAGCTGCCCAGTTCCCATGAGCAATCACCCATCACCTGCCCTCTTCTTTTCCCTACACAGAACACCGAACACTGGGATGATTGTATGGAGGATGTGCCTTTTAGATAAGCTGGTTTTGATTTTTTTTTTAACACCCAGGACCCAGTTTGTGATTTTTTTTTTTTTTTTTAAATCTTAGAAACTTAATGGGACTGAACCACAACTTGAGGGTAGGGGTGAGGTTAATATTTCATTTCTTGGGAGAAATCTTGTGTCTTATATCAGGTTTTCCATTATTTGAGTTAAAGGTGATAACTAAATCTCTAAAAACAACTTAACACTAAGTGAAGTAATCTTTTTTGTGTGTGTGTGTGAGTGTACCGTCAAATCAGATCTGACTGGTACAGGAGGAGATTGTCCCTCCTTTGGATTCGAACCGTGAGCCACTGGGATTGTAGTTGCAGCTCCTTGCCACTAGGCCACCAGAGCTCCCCTGAAGTAATCTTTTAGCCAGAGATCTGGAAGCTGGCTGTCCCACCAGCTGAGCAAGGCCAGTGTCAGTGACTGTAGAACCAGCTGTAGCCAGAGCCAGGGATTTCAGAAGCACCTTGGAGCTCCCTAGTCTGTGGGCAGAGCTTGTCTATTGAATGATAACTTGGGTCCTGTTGCCAGTCCTGTGATTACTGTGCATGTTGTCTCACCTCTCTGGGCCTTTGTTTACCTTTCTGTAAGATGAGGTTCCGGTATACTAAGGACGTAGAGAAAGGTTTAAATGCTTAGAAAGGCCTTTATTAGCTCTGGTTACAAGTGGAAAAAGGTCCCATTGCACCATTAATCTGTAGCGTGTACTACAGTCAAGAGACAGCACTTCTTGGGTCCTGAGCCAGTCCTTCCGCTGACATGGTTTTGTGCTTCCCATCACCCTAAGGACACAGGATTGGGACCCACCAGGGCCTAGTGTCATAGTCTAACAGGGACCAGCCCAGGCAGGAGGTGGATTAAGGCTCTCAGCCACTAGTCTCTAGCCAGGCAAAGAGACTTTAGGCTAGAAGTGGAGAGCTATTTTGATGCAAATTAGAAGAGGCAGTTAAACCCTGCCCATTTGTACCTCAGGGGGAGCAATGAGGAGAAAGTGAAGATGCTGAGAAAATAAGACAGTTTATTTTTGTTCTTTTCCTAAAAGAAATCGGCCAGTTTCAAAAAATTGTTGGTGGTTTAATTGGGCTTGTTGACCAACTTGCAAAAGAAGCAGAAAATGAGAAGATGAAGGTAAGATCATCATGTCTTCTGTCTACACCTTGACCTTCACTCGGTTGCTCATCCTTCTGTCCTCTTGGTTTGTTTTGTTTGAAGTTACTGAATTAAAACAAGATTGAAACTATTTCTGGCTCAACCAACTATCAAACTCTTCTGTGGCAACATAATTTTTGCATCAATACTGATAGTTTTACCCTTATTTTATGAAGACATTAAGCTTTATAGAATGTAGACAAGTGGTTTGACATAGTGACTGCAGCAGTGGGCTCAAATGTATCAGGGATGATGAGACAGAGCAGTATTCAGGTCTATTGAATCATATGCATCTGGACAACCCCTAACAATAACAATGTTGGTGGATGGACACAAGGTGAAATAGCATAGTAAACAGGCTAGTGAGCACCTGTGTGTCAGGTGTGGCGAATCCTCTTGGACCCTACCCTACAGAGCTGTACTTCAGTGCTCCTAGGATTTCAGTTTCTCCATCAGGAACCTTGAGGGTAGTAGGTTAATCTTCCTTCATACCCATCCAGAGTCTCTGGGGCATGACTTTCTTTTCTCCTTTGGACACCAACATTATCGGCTCCCAGAGAGCCCTTAGTGTGTTGAGGACTTAATACTGTTGTCAGCTCCAAGGATGCCATAACTTTCTTTGGCGATACACTGTTTTTCAAGGCCATCGGTGCCCGGAACTTGCTCAAATCTATAGCAAAGCAGAGAGAAGCCCAGCAACAGCAACTTCAAGCCCTAATAGCAGAAAAGAAAATGCAGCTAGAAAGGTAAGTGTTGATGTTAAAGCAAGTTCCTCTTCAGTCAAATCGTCTTTCTTCTGGGATGATCACCTTTCATTCTTATTTTTCATCACTGTTCTCCTAGAAGTGTCTTACTTGTCCCTTTCTAATTTAATTGGTTTGAAAGTAAAATAAAATTATATTTGATGGGAAGGACATAGAAAACTTATTACTATTAAAGGAACAGCCTCTATTTCTTTAAGAGCATGGACTGGAAGGCTGGACTGTAGATTTAAGGTTCAGGCTGTGAGGCTCTGTAGAGTTGGCTGGTTCTCTGAGCAGAGACTTTACTTTCAGGGCTGGAGACCTCTCACAGGGGGTCAGGCCAGGCTTTACCCTTTTCTCCCCTGTGCATTTTTCTTCTTGCCTTCCACTAGCTTCTTCAGTCTGGACTCACACCATTTCTTGGACTCATTTAAATCACCTCTTTTTTTCTCTTAAAAAAAAAAATTAAGCCCATGGGTTTTTCTCCTTCATCCATTTTTTAGGGCTTCTTAACAATTTTGTTTTTCAGGTATCGAGTTGAATACGAAGCCTTGTGTAAAGTAGAAGCAGAACAAAATGAATTTATCGACCAATTTATTTTTCAGAAATGAACTGAAATATTTCATTTTTATATCAAGAGAGCAAAACAAAAAAAAAACCCAAATCAACCTCTATCATTCCAGTGACATGGTGTGTAAGGAATAAAGAATGCATCTCTGGAGGTATTAATACAAATATGGGGCAACCTCTTTTCAATAGTGTCAGGGCATATCTGCTGGCAAACTCTGGTGCACTGGCTGCCAACCGGCATGGAGGCCCAAGTTCTCACCTCTGATCCTTAGTCTGAACTGAGCAGTCTGTAAATTTTGGTCCTTTTTTATGTGTGTAAATCCACAAAAACTTTGGGAGAAAAAGCAATAAATTGTTTCCAAATGGCTTGATTGGTCTCTTTCTGGTGTGCCAGAAGTAAAGCGCCTTGTAAGAGGACCCTGTGTGATACCCCCAGCCCACAAAACAAGTCAAGCAGTAGTCAGCAGCTACTTTTATTTGGATAAAATAAGTCAGATGTCAGTACCAACATCCAGACCATATGGCCTTGGAGAGAAAAAAAGGGCAAAAACAGAGAGAGTTGATTTGGATCCGTTTCTGTCATTTTCCACATGATGGTCATAGGTTTTTAGAATTTTGAGTACAAATGTACAGAAAGCTAATGGAACACCAAGCACCACAAACATACAGCAGCCCTGTACACACACAGTAGACATGTTGTGTCCAGCTTCCCCTCCACTTCAGAACAAGATATGATTCACATATCCTGCTAGTGACAGGATGCTGTCAAGTTGATCCCTAGCACATCCCCATAGACTTTTCCCCTAGGCTCTTCCAGGTCTTCCCTTCAACCCCCTACAGGGCCAATGGTGGGTTCAAACCACTGACTTTTCATTTAGCAGCTAAGTGCATAACCATCAGCTGTACTAGAAGGGAGGATGCTAACCCTTAGGAAATATGCTTTCAGGTCAGTTTTAATGATAAAGATCTCAGAAGGAAGGTACTGATAGGTTAGGTGGGCTCTAAAAATGGAAGACAGAATTGGAAAGATGATGAACAGGATGACTTTAAAAAATCTCCATTTTCAGGATGCTTTGCGTAAGACAGAAACCAAACACCTAGTTTTTAACTCATTTCTAACAAAATCAAGTATAGAATTTTTTCCCCTTAAGGTGAGAGAGGAATAGTTCGGGAATGAAGAAGCTTAATTAAGAAGGCATCATTTCAGACTTCAAAATAGCCTGGAACATTCCACTAACCATTGTGCTGAATGATAGGAGGGTCAGCATAAAAGAGGAAGACCCTCAACAAGATGGATTGACAGTAACAATGGCTTTGAGTGTGTTGGAGTTAGTGAAGACGGCACATAACAAAAGAGAATCAGGAGTCAGGATGATGATGTTCAAATGACTCCTGCCTGTCTCTGGTCTGGTCCTACTCTTAACATAATCCTGAAATGAATGGAAGACAGGGGGCACATAGTGAGGTATTTGGCACTACTTCCCTACAACCTACCTGCCTTGCGCTGGCAGTCAGGTGCCTTGGAAGTGGAGGTTGTATTTGGTTGCTGTCAGCATCAAGCTCGTGGGCACTGCTGCTGGTATGTTTCAAATGCTGCTGAAGTCGGGTTCTGAGCAGTTTCCCCATTCTGGGTCTAACGGGAATATGCCCTGTGGGCATGCCTTCCCCTAGGCCAGTGCTACTCTCCCTCATTTTTTCTTTCTTTTCTCCTCATACTTGTAGGCGGGGCTCCGTAACATGAGAAGGAGAAGCATGAGAGGGATGAGAAAGTAAGGGAAATAGAAAGATACAAGGGTCAGTCGTTCTTGCAAAGTCTTGGGTCCTTGTCCTTTGAAACCATTGGCTTTGGAGAAATCATCGAATAGCAGCGTGGAAAGAATGGGAATTAAAGTGGTCATCGTGTGGACAGCGTAGATGATTGCAGGTGTGCGGATCCATTTGCAGCCTCCTAGTCAGGAGAAAAGAAAAAAAGATAAGTTCTAGGTCTTTCAAAGGGCCAGAAGCTAGTCTCCATGTTTCTGCCTGTCTGCTCCCTTTAGCTCATTCTCCTTCCTTAAAGTGGAAACTCACAGTAAATGGAAAAGCGAGTCTGTGTTACTGCCCAGTGCACAAATTTCTACCTGTAGGAAACAGCTCAGATACTGGCTCACTAATTGCCAAAACCAAAAATAACTGAGAAAAAGTTTAGGGTAGTCAAACAGCCATTACCAGATAAAATGGTTGGTTCTGCAATTGGGGGAGAGGGTGGAGATGAGGATTGTGAAGCATCGGTTTGATAAATAATTGCTTATAGGTAAGGTTATCACCAAGAGATGGATTCAGTGACTCAACTCCAATGGAAAGCATCTGTAGCTGTACAGATTTAATTACCAAGTGCGTAGGCACAGCTATCTGCTGTATAAAGGCATTGATTAAATGGAAAGAAGCTATACTCTATAGGTATGAAGTCAATGCTACTATTTACAAGTTAATATAGTACTACCCAATGAAGGAGACTATGCCAACTATAAAAAAAATTTAGGCTGATGCCAGTTGAGCTCACAAAAGCTCACTTTTTAAATAAAAGCATACTTGAGACAATTTATTTTTTTTTTCATCCAGAGGAGAAAACAGCAACAATAAAAAGGAAACCACCTTTTGAATGGTCTTAGGTTTGAATTATTTTTTTAAATTAGTTTTCATTCAATCACTCATATACATACTATTTTTTAATTGTATGAGGGATGTTTGGAAGACTGAGGTGGCTATATTAGATGAGCTGATCAGTGTGGGCTGTGCCCCAGAGCCTCTCTGGCCAGGTCCTTCTCTCTGGTCACTCTTGCCCTACTTCCTTTTAGTTACTTCTTCCTTGTCCTCAATCACACTTTTCTTTACACCTCACATCACATCACTACACCCCTTCTCCGCCATACCAAAAACCGAGCCACAAGATATCTCTGTATGAGATCCCTTTTGGTTATTCTAAAAGACTCTAGAGCCACCTTTCCCAGGGGGATGGCCCTCACACAAACTATAGGTACCACCCCCTCCTGGAGATGCTTTCCTGGAAGATTTTAAGAACTTGAGCAAAAATGTGATTTTCCTAAGATTTACTAACCTCTGAAGAAGGCATACGTTGCCACAGGAAAGAAGGGCAGCTGCAGCAAAAGCTCGCAATACACGAAGGACTTAAACCACGTCGGGGGATACTGTAGCATGATGTCCTTGAACTCCTTTACATACCACTGCAGCAGGTTTTGCAACTGGAAAAAAGAGATAGCCACAACTCATGGATCTTGGCTGGAGAAGGTCAGCACCTCCAACTCATCTGAAGACACTCACAAGCCCCCCTGGCAGAGCCTACTGGCTTTGTGAGAAAGCTCTAATTCAAATGTTACCCTCTCTGGGAGATTTCCCTCAGCTCTTCCAGCCCCCTGGTGCAAGCCAGCATTAGTAACGCAATGATAATACATTTCCAGGTGTGTTTTCCATTGTCAAGAACAACTGTATCTAGCACTTAGTGGCTCAGGATGCTTCCAGAATGACATTTGTGCAAACATCCTTTATAAAGAAGTGACAGATGTGAAAGCCATTGTAACATTTGGCCTTTCATATGAGTAACTGTACACAAGATGTAAGGTCCATATCCCCTCAAATGCAAAAAGTGGATTTCATTTCTTGCCCTTTGGTGAGGGAGAGATATAACTAACTTTGGCAAAGATGTGATTTTGCACATAAAATTCTAGCATCTTGCTTGAGTAAGTTACACATCTTTTTAATTATTTTAAAAGTTGTCCAGTCCAGTTCATGACATCTTCATGTGTATCAAAACACAACTGTGTTCTCCTCCTGTACCAGTCAGATCTGATTTGACGGTACATGTAAAAATAATACAATAAAAATTTAAAAAAAAAACACACCACAACTGTGAGGGGAGCTCTGGTGGCCTAGTGGTAAGGAGCTGCAACTACAATCCCAGAGGTGCACGGTTCGAATCCACTAGGATTCTCTGCCGGGAAAGGAGGGACAGTCTCCTCCTGTACCAGTCAGATCTGATTTGACGGTACACACACACAAAAATAATAAAATAAAAATTAAAAAAAACACAAAAACCACACAACTGTGCTCCACAGAATTTTCAATGGCTGAATTTTTTGGAAATAGAT